TTCAATACTTCGGAATACTTTGAAGAGTATTTAAAATGTTTTGTAGAATTCAATATTAAGCTCATCAATCAAGCCCCAGAATTTTATTTGATAAGGGACTTTTAATTATTGCTTCAGTATCATTACTTGTTATGGGTCTATTTCAATTTTCTGTCTTCTTGATTTAATATTCATAGGTTATATGTATCCAGCAATTTATCCACTTCTTCAAGGTTTTCCAATTTGTTAGCACGTAGTTGTTCATAGCAGTTTCTTATGATCCTTTGTATTTCTGTAGTATCAGTTGTAATGTCTCTTTTTCATCTCTGAATTATTTGAGATTTCTCCCCCCCCCCCCTTTTTTTTCCTTGTTAGTCTGGCTAAAGGTTTGTGATATTTTGTTTATAGTCTCAACAAAACATCTTTTCACCTTGTTGGTCTTTTGTATTTTTGTATTTTTTTCACTATCAATTTCATTATTTCTGCTCAAATTCTTAATATTTCTTATCTCTTGGTAATTTTAGATTTGGTTTGTTCTTGCTTGTCTACATCCTTGCAACATATTATCAGATTGTTTATTTGAGATCTTCGTTTTTTTAAAATGTAAGCACTTATTGCTGTAAACTTCACTCTTAATACTGCTTTTGCCATATTCTGCAGGTTTGAATATGTGGTATTTTCATTTTCATTTGTTTCAAGAAAGTTTTTTATTTCTTTTTTAATCTCCTCAATCACCTATTGGTCATTCAGTAGCATTCAGTAGTTTAATTTCCATGTATTTGTAAATTTTCTGTTGTTCTTATTGATATCTAGTTTTAGATTTTTGTGATCTGAGACAATACATGGTATGATTTAAATAATTTTAAATGTACTAAGACTTGATTTGTAGCCTAATATATGGTCTATCCTAAATATATTCTACGTGCTGCTGAGGGGAACATATATTCTGTAATTGTTGGGTGAAATGTCTGGAAATGTCTGTTAAGTCCATATGCTCAATAGTGTGGCTCAACTTGGATGTAACTTTGTTGATTTTCTATCTCGTTGATCTGTCTATTAATGACAATGGGGTGTAGAAGTCCACCACTATTGTTGTATTAGAACTACCTCTCTCTCTTGCCGGCGCCGCGGCTCACTAGGCTAATCCTCCGCCTTGCGGCACAGGCACACCGGGTTCTAGTCCCAGTCGGGGGCGCCGGATTCTGTCCTGGTTGCCCCTCTTCCAGGCCAGCTCTCTGCTGTGGCCAGGGAGTGCAGTGGAGGATGGCCCAAGTACTTGGGCCCTGCACCCCATGGGAGCCATCAGATCAGCGCGGTGCGCTGGCTGCAGCGCACCGGCCACGGTGGCCATTGGAGGGTGAACCAACGGCAAAGGAAGACCTTTCTCTCTGTCTCTCTCTCTCACTGTCCACTCTGCCTGTCAAAAAAAAAAAAAAAAAAAAAAAAAAAAAAAAAAAAAAGAACTACCTCTCCATTAGGCTGATATTTGCTGTATATATCTGGGTGGTCTTATGTGCATTTATATTTATGATTGTTGTATCTTCTTGCTGATTTGGCCCTTTTACAATGTCCTTTCTTTAATCCCTTTTTACAGTTTTTCGTTTAAAGTTTGTTTTCTATGATAGGGATAGGTACTCCCGCTCATTTTTATTTCCATTTGCTTGGTGTATCTTTTTCCAGTCCTTCATTTTCAGTCTGTATTCATCTTCACCTGTGAAATGAGTGTCTTAAGAATAATATAGTTGGGTCTTTTTTTTAAAAATTCATTCAACCAAGCTCATTCAGTGTTAACATTGATAGGTAAGAGCTGACTTCTATCATTTGATTGATTGGTTACTAATTGTATCACCTCTCTTAGTGAATGTAGTACTGTCTTGTGTTATGTTGTTCACTTCCTATATAGGACTCCCTTCAGGATTTCTTGTAAGGCTGGTCTGGTGGAGGTGAACTATCTCAGTTTTTGCTTGTCTGGGAAATACTTTTTGTCTCCTTCCCTTTTAAAGTATAGCTTTGCTGGATATAATATTCTTGATTGGAAGTTTTGTTCAAGACCCTGAATATATCATCCTACTCTCTTCTGGCCTGTAGTGTTTCTCCTGAAAAGTCTATGATTAGGGGCTGGCACTGTGGTATAGCGGGTGAGGCCACCACCTGCAGTGCCAGCATCCCATATGGGTTCCAGTTTGAATCCTGGCTGCTCCACTTCGGATCTACGATTAGTCTAACTGTATTCCTTTACATGTAACTTCATGTTTTTCTCTTATTGTCTTTAGGATTCTCTCATTGTCCTTAACTTATTTTTTAAAGATTTATTTATTTATTTGAAAGGCAGAGTTATAGAGAGGCAGAGACAGAGAGAGTGAGGTCTTTGATCTGCTGGTTCACTCCCTAGATGGCTGCAACAGCTGGAGCTGTGCCCATCCAAAGCTAGGAGTTAGGAGCTTCTTCCGGGTCTCCCACGCGGGTGCAGGGGCCCAAGGACTTGGGCTATCTTCTGCTTTCCCAGGCCAAAGCAGAGAGCTGGATTTGAAGTGGAGCAGCCCAGATGGGAACCAGCACCCAAATGGGATGCCAGCGCTGCAGGCAGCAGCTTTACGCACTACGTCACAGCGCCAACCCCCTAATGATGCTTTATCCCTACAAAGTCTGATTAGTAGGGTAAATGAGCTTGACCCAGTTTTCTTAGCTCCCCAAAAGCATTATCTTGAAGTGAACACACTGGGGATGGGATTGTAGCATTGGTGACAAGCTTTATCTTCCACTGACCAAAGTTGTCAATTGACAGGAGGAGCCAAGACTGCTAAGATAGCCAGAATGCAATAGTTTTTAAATATGTAAATATTTGTAAAGGAAAGACTAACCCAAGTTTAGCCAGAAGATTTTTTTTTTTTAAGATTTACTTATTTATCTGAATGGCAGAATTACAGAGGCACAGGCAGAGAAAGAGAGATCTTCCATCTGCTGGTTCACTCTCCAAATGGCCACAATGGCTGGAGCAGTGCCGATCTGAAGCCAGGAGCCAGGAGCTTCTTCCTGGTCTCCCATGTAGGTGCAGGGGCCCAAGGACTTGGACCATCTTCTGATGCCTTCCCAGGTGTATTATTAGGGAGCTGGATCAAAAGTGGAGCAGCCGGGACTTGAACTGGCTGTCATATGGGATGCTGGCTCTGCAGGAGGCAGCTTTACCCACTTCGCCAGAGTGCTGGCCCCTAACCAGAAATTTTGCGTGATTGCAAGATGGTTCAATAACAGGCCAGTGTTGTGGCATAGTGGGTAAAGCTGCTGTGACATTGGCATCCCATATGGGTGCTGGTTCGAGTCCTGACTGCTCCATTTACAGTCTAGCTCCCTGCTAATGGCCTGAGAAAAGCAATGGAAGATGGCCCAAGTGCTTGTGCCTCTGAATCCATGTGGGAGACCCAGATAAAGCTCCTGCTCCCAGCTTTGGCCTGACTCAGCCCTGGCCATTACAACCATCTGAGCAGTGAAGCGATGAAATATATTCTCCCTCTCCCTCTCTCTCTCCTTGTAGCCCTTTCAAATAAATTAATTAAAAACAAAAGAAAGCATGCTGGCTCAATAGGATATCTGTTTAGAAGAACCATGTCCAAGATTCAGGGAGTTTTATGTGATCCAGTGGGGCATGGATACATTCAAAGACAAATTGGCCCAGGAAAGAGACAGTCATATGGAAGGATATGGCTAAATAAACACACTGTGGTCAAAATACAGAGAAGCATAACCATCCTGAGAATCCCACACAGCAGTTGTACATTCAGATGATTATAAGGGAGAGCAGCAGCACTCCGTACAGGACAGATGGGATGTCCTGGGGAAGACAGCAAAGTGCCACGAACCCAAGACAAATCAGCTTGTGACGGTGGTGGTTGGGGAGAGTGGAGGTAGAAGGTGGTTAACACTACCCAACAACTACCAACTAGCAGCAGCACTAAGGGTCTGTGCACATGGACCTCCACATACAGAACCTGTTTAAAAGCTATCCTAAGAATGCAGCAAGAACTCTCTCCCTAGCAGTGGACTTGAGATAGAGAACCCAGGTCCAAATCCCTTTTTGTGACAAAAGAACAAGCAGACACACTCATCTGTTTCCTACCACAAATGGTAATCTGGGTCAGGAGTGAGAGATAGTTCCCCAAAGCTAGCCAGATTCTTTTCTATAAAGGGACTTAAGCCACTGTCAGTATCCTTGTGGAAAAATACAAATTCTCCCACAGATCATGAAACACTAACGGATCTCTAGAGAACTTCCTTTTTCCTAGCACCTTCAAGCCTAATTGCAAGATCTTCTATGGGGTCACCCTTAGATTCTAAAAACAATGTTCAGCAGCTACTTAAATATGTATGCCATAAAGGTGTTTAAAAAAGGTGTTTTTTTTTTTTTTTTTTTTTTTTTAGGATCCGAGACACAGAAAGAGAATGCCCACAACAATGGAAGCTGGGTTAGTCTGAAACTGAGAGTTATGAACTCAATCCAGGTCTCCCGTATGAGTAGTAGGCCCCAACTACTTGAGCCATCACCTGCTACCCTATAGGGTCCCTATTAACAGGAAGCTGGAATTTGGGAGCAGAACTGGGATCCAAACCCATGGTTATGGGATGCAGGCATCCCTACAAGCACCTTAACTGCTAGGCCAAACATCCAACCCACTATCCAACATTTTTATCTGAGAGAGCATTGAGAAATCATATAAAGCAACTGGCAATCCCTATTATAAGTCACATTTTTAGTTTAGGAGAATAAGATGGAATCTTCCCATTAATAAAATGCAAACATGCACCAACAACTAAATTTCTTGAAACCAGTAACTTTTGCTTTCCCATGTGAATTCATATAGATCCCTCTTCAAGGAACTTGTGTGACACAGCAAGTCCCAAGGGTGAACAAGTTCCTTTCTTACCAGAAGATAACGCCAATATGGGGGCCCCTGTACTGAGAACTCCCTTATCTCTTCCAGCCAGCTTGGTGTCACAGAATTAAGACAGAGGCTAAGCCTTGCCCACACGGTTCAGTAAATATTTATTCATTTCACACAAGATGATTTCCCACACGTTAGCATGTACCATTCTAGTGACATTTGAATTTGAATTGATTTCAGCGTATCTTAATGGCACTTCTGCAGAAAAGATGGTAAGGAAATCTTTCTGGAAGGCTGTTTGGCACAATTTGTATCAAGAACTTAAATCCCATTTCCAGTAATCTTCTCTAAAGAAATAAAAATGCCAAGATATATGCATAAGCCATGTGCACTGTGATAAGTACAATTAAAAACAGGACACAAAATGATGAATAGTATGGAAGTGGTTTAACTATACTCACACAACAGGATAGTATATAACTATTAAAAATGACACCCTGGGGGGCCAGCACTGTGGCATAGTAGGTCCCATATCAGCACTGGTCTACATTGTAGCTGCTATGCTTCCAATCCAGCTCCCTGCCGATGGCCTAGGGAAAGCAGCAGAAGATGGCCCAAGTGTTTGGGCCCCTGCCACCTACATAGGAGACCTGGATGAAGCTCCTAGCTTCAGCCTGGCCCAGTGCTGACCATTGTGGTCAACTGGGGAATGAGCCAATGGATGGAAGATCTCTTTCTCTCTCTCAAAATAAATAAATCCTTTTTAAAAAATAAAATTCTGGGGATAGGCTTTTAGTGTAGCAGTTAAAATGCAGCTGGGTTCAAGTCCTGGCCCTGATTCCAAATCCAGCTTTATGCTAGTGAGCACCCTAGGAGGCATCAGGTGATGGCTCAAGTACTTGGGTCCCTGCAATCTACATGGGAAACCTGGACTGAGTTCCGCTCCTGGCTTTAGTCTGGTCCAGTGCTAGCTGTTGCGGGCATCTGATGGGAGCACCTTGTCTATCTTAGTCTGACTTTCAAATAAATTTTTTAAAAACTCCCCAATTGGCTGCAAAGGCCAGAACTGTGCTGATCTGAAGCCAGGAGCTTCTTCCGGGTCTCCTACATGGGTGCAGGGGCCCAAGGACTTGGGCCATCTTCTACTGCTTTCTCAGGCCATAGCAGAGAGCTGGATCGGAAGTGGAGCAGCCCGGTCTCAAACCGGCACCCATATGGGATACTGGCACTTCAGGCCAGGGCACTAACCTGCTATGCCACAGTGCCGGCCCCTATTTTAAAAAATTTAATGACATGCGGCCGGCGCCGTGGCTCAATAGGCTAATCCTCCACCTTGCGGCGCCGGCACACCGGGTTCTAGTCCCGGTCGGGGCGCCGGATTCTGTCCCGGTTGCCCCTCTTCCAGGCCAGCTCTCTGCTATGGCCAGGGAGTGCAGTGGAGGATGGCCCAGGTGCTTGGGCCCTGCACCCCATGGGAGACCAGGAGAAGCACCTGGATCCTGGCTCCTGCCATCGGATCAGCGCGGTGCGCCGGCTGCAGCGGCGGCCATTGGAGGGTGAACCAACGGCAAGGGAAGACCTTTCTCTCTCTGTCTCTCTCACTGTCCACTCTGCCTGTCAAAAAAAAAAAAAAAAAAAAAAAAAAAAAAAATTTAATGACATGGCAAAATGCTTAAGGAATTAAGAAAGGAAAATATAGGATATAAAATTGTCACCCAGATTTTGAAAAAATATATATATTTAACACATTTACATCACAGAAAAAGATTGGAATAAAGCATATCAATTGATCTACATAGAGGAATTAAAGTTGACTTTTTTCTTTACATTTTTATGATTTCCAAACTTTATTTTATATATAGAATAATTTCTTGAAAAATCAGAGGCTGAGAAACATTTGAAAACCCCGTCCTATGGCACACACTGAATTAGAATTTTATCACTTGTTTAATCTCCGTAGCGGTGATGAGAGGTAGGTATCTCAGTCCCTGTGGACTGAGGGACTGTAGACCTGAGGCTCCACAAAGCAATTTGCCGAAGCTGCCCTGGATTCAAGCCCAGCCAATACCCAGGTTTCCTACTGCACAGCATGCCTCGCCTGCCACAGCTCCTAGAAGGCCCTTGGGAGGCTGACAGTGAAGGTCACGGACAAAACAGCTATATACAGTTTGGCCGAACACAAGTCCTTATTTTGCTTTCTAAACTCTTCATTACAACCTCCAAAATTAGAATCTTGTTTCCCCTGGCTAGGAAACCGAGACTTCTGCCTTCCTAAGGCCCCAGGTTTCATTCTGAAGCAGTTTTATCCACCTGCCCAGCTCCACATTATCTGTGCCCTTCCTTAGAGCCTGTTCCCTCATAGCTGTGGTGTTGGCTGTCCTGCTTATTGGCTTGGCATTTTGTGTTATGAACAGAAGGACAGGGCAGAACTGCACACCCCCCACCCCTTCCAGCCAGCTGGCTCCGTGGTCTCTTCCCTGGATACTAAAACAAACAGGCTGTGTGCTCTGGCTCCTTATTCAAACCAAGGGGGTAGGGGGGGAGCAACAAATATCCCAGCTATGTGAACAATCAGAGGAATATCTGGCAGCACATCTGATCTTTTCTAACTTTATTTCAGCCAAATAATCAGGGCCTCCACATAGCTGGGAGTCCTGTCACACCCTAGGCCTTAATGCTCAGCCTGGTTCCAGGTACTGCTGCCGTGACGGGTGCCCAACCCCCTCGCTGGCTCTGTTCCAGATGGGTCCCCAGCAACACTAATTGCACACTCTGATGCAGGAGGCAGGAGGTGGAATTTTTCACCATGGTTCCAAGTCCTCTTCATTGCTTCCTGTTCTTTCCCAGAGGCAGAGACAGGAAGTTACTTGGATGGGGTCACAGCAAGTCAGGGACATTCAGGACTAGAACGTGCTGCTTGGGCCACCACTTTATCCGCTAGCACCACAGTTCATGATTAATGATTATCCTCCAGCACCACAGTTTATGATTAAAAAATAGAACTACCCAGGGGTTTTTGTGAAGGAGGGTTGGGGGAGCACGTTATGTGACACAGAGCATGCAAAGGAACTACGGGAATAATCTGCTCTTTTTTGATTCAGACTCATCTCTTTCGGCACCCACAGAAGAGGACTGCACGTTCACCAAAGCTTGAGGAATGCTAGGTTAAACAGATCAAGTTACTGTAGGACCTCTAAGAACCTTTAACATGCTGATGCACACGCCCCAGAGTTTACAATGAAAAGCCTCTTAAACACAGTCAAGGTTACAACTAAGGATTCCATAGGTACCAGGACTCCAATAAACAAGCTTGGAAAAGTGCTGGTCCAGGGCGAGCCTGCGAGGATCCAGTACAGACAAGCCCCAAACAAACTTCACTGTCTGAAACTGTAGCATTGGGTTGAACAACACTGTTATTCTGTACTCTCCTGTGTGTGCTCCTTCGAGGGCTTGTGGTATTTTTCCACTTGCTGGTCAAAGCTCCTGGAAGAGAACTTTGCCTGGAAAAAGTTCACTGGAGTCAGAAGATATTTCAGTGCCAGGCCCCTGAACTTAGCAGCTAGAAGAGGGGTGGCCTTGCTATGACCCAGGGGAGAATCATGGCTCACCCAAGTGCTTGGGTTCCCTGTGGCTGCTGGGTCACTGTCTCCTCTGGGTACCAATGGGGGCTTTAAACTAATTTCCTCCTTTGTTTCTGGAGAGATGAACTCCTCATCTGAAGGTCTTAAGTGCATAGAACAGCCCAAAGGGACAGTCACCTTTGTTACCATTTTCTGGGACTCACAGAAGGGGGCTGTCCCATCCCATTCTTTGCTGCAGAGATCTGAGAACAACTGCTTCTTGACTCGCAAAGGACAGTGGGGAAGCTGCTTTTCAAGCTTCCCAGGCCAGGGAGAGTTTTCCTTCTTGGCCTTCTTTGAGTCTTTGTTAGCTTGAGATTCATCAACATCTTTCTCAGGGGATTCAAACACAACACCTTGGGCTCTGGCCCTCTTTAGCCTCCTTTCCAACAGCAAGAGAAAACTTGGTTTTCTAGAGAAGGAACTCATGTACTGCTGCACAGAATCTGGAATCAGAGGCACAGAGATCCTGGGGCCCATGCTGTCCCAAAAGTAGTCTCCACAGGGCTGCCGACGGACGATGGGTACCACCTGGCTCGGCTTCAGTGCTGAAACAAAGGTACGAAGCTCAGAGTAGGAGGAGTGGTCAGAGTAAGGGATGATGTGGATATCGGGGTGGGAGGTGTGGATTTTCCGGCTGGTGGGAAGGATGGCAATGGTAGGGTGGGTCTGGTTCCAACGCAGCATGGCAGAATGGCAGATCTCCATGTTGTCCACGGCGTGGATGCGGCCCGCCTTCTCCTCCACCGTGAACACATCTGCCAGGCCCAGCAGCTGTACCACCTCCAGACGCTGAGGACTCAACACCACCCAGGTCTGACACTCCAGGGCCAGGTGCTCCAGCAGTGACTCCTTTCCCAAGCTATAGAGTCCTGAATAATGTGAATGGCATTGGGGAAATTAAGAGAAGAAAGCTATTAGAGAATCCTAATATATCAACTAAACATTTAAAAACAAACACAAAATTCATGGGGCCATCAGGGGAGTCTACCAGGGATGAGATGGCATTTGAGCAGAGATATATGGAGAAGAGGGAGGCACACAAAATCCACCTTTTCATTTGGTTCAACCAAAGAAAGCATCTACCAAGTGTTAAGCACATGAAAAGTAACAAACAAAAAGACATCTCAGCCCTCAAGGAGTATAATTACACAAAGATCCAGAAACCCTGCAGTTAAGGGCAATACTGCAGATATGCAGACAGCCTTAGGAGGACACAGATAAACAGTATCTACTAGCTGATGGGATTAGGGAGTTTCCTGGAAAGGACAAGCTGTATTGAAGGGTGGGAAACATTAAGAGGGGCCAGTTCAATGTTGCTAAAGAAGGAATTGGTGAAAAATGGCATGAGAGAGGCAAGCATATTAGAGGGCCTTGTGTGTACTGCAAGGACCTTGGACTTAGTCCTGGAAGTGAAGGGGGAGGAGTCATTGAAGAGTCTAAAGCAGAAAAATGGTTAATTCTAATCACAGGAATAATAAGATCAGAGCAGGGCTTTAGAAGAAAGTAGAGCAGCAATGTATTCTACTGCCTCGATGAGAACAAGCTAAAAGCAGAAGTGCCGGTTGGAAGCCCCAAACTGCAGTTATATAGGAAGAAATAGGAGACATGAAATCGGGTAATGGTAATAGATACTAAAGGCCTATTTCCAATCCACAACCAGACTGTGAACTCCGTAAAATAAGTATTTCTCTTATCTATTTTTCTTTAAGTTTTTATTTATTTGAGAAGCAGAGAAATAGAGAGACAGCTCCCATCTGCTGGTTTACCCCACAAATGCCTACAATGGCCTGGGCGGAGTCTGTGAAGCTAGGAGCTGGGCACACAACCCAGGTTTCCCACATGGCAGAGGCCCAACTACTTGAGCCATCACCAGCTTCCTACCAATGCCTGCAATTAGGAGCAGAGCTGGAGCTTGAACCCAGGCCCTCCAATCTGCGATACAGGCATCCAAACTAACATCTTAACTGCCTGGCCAAACACCTGCCCTATATTTCTTTTTAATCTACTTTATTCCTGATTATGGTTCAAAATTTCATTCTTTGGGTATGAAGGTAGCCAATTTTATTTTCTCCTCATATATTTCCATTTTACTTCACTTTCTAGGTCCTGCCCTGTTACCCTGTAAGCTCTCAAAATCAGAGCAATATTTTATTCAGGTTTATATCCCCACTGTCTATTGGGTCCTTGGCACAGAGTAGAGGCTTATATATTATTCAGTGTGTTCATTAGGCCCTACCACAGCACCCTCCTAACCAGCTGTGCTTCTCTGGGAAATTTCTGCATTGAAAACTGTAACTGATATTTCTTCATGAGCAGTTTAGCAATCCTCAGGGCAGAGGATATTTCTCAATCAGCTTGGTAGTTACCCAGGGAAGTATATAATTTTGTTAGTGCCATTTATTTAATCTCACTTTGAAATTCGTTTTAGAATTGGGACATGTCCTTTTTAAAAATATTCATAATGGTGGCAAATCTTTTCCCTTTTGTGAACAATCAAAAAAGTCATTTAGAACTATATGTTAAATTTTTTTAACATTTTTATTTTCATATTATTTGAAAGGCAGAGAAACAAAGACAGGTGGACAAAGATCTTCCATCCACTGTTTGTTCCCCAAATGTCTACAACAGGCAGGGTTGGACCAGGCCAAAGCCAAAAGCCAACAATTCCTTCTGGGACTCCCCTGTGGATGGCAGGGACTCAGGTACTTAAGCCATCACTTACTACCTCTCAGGGTGTACATCTGGAGGAAGCTGGATTGGAAGTAGATCTGGGACTTGAATTCAGGCATCCCAATATGAGATGCAGGCATCCCAAGCAGTGTCTCAGTGTCTTAACTACTGCACCAAATGTCTGCCCTGTTACAGTTTTTTAAAATAAAAACTGGAGGCTGGGGTTGTGGTACAGTGGATGCCTGTAATGCCAGCATCCCATATAAGTGCCAGTTCAAATCCCAGCTGCTCTACTTTCGATCCAACTCCCTGCTAATACACCTCGGAAAAGCAGGGGAACATAGCCCTTGCCACCCACTTGGGAGGCCTAGATGGAACTCTGGGCTCTTGGCTTTGGCCTGATCCAGCCCTGCCCACTGTGGCCATTTGGGGAGAGAACTAGTGAATGGAAGATAGCTAAATCTCTCTCTCTCTCTCTCTCTCTCTCTGTCTTTCCCTCTCTCTGTTACTCTGCCTTTCAAATTAATATTTTTTAAAAAACTGATTTTCATAATTTTTTAAAAAGACAACTCCAGGGGTTAGCACTGTGGTACAGTATGTTAAGCCTCCACCTGTGGTGCCAGCATCTCATATGGGCTCCAGTTGGAGTCCTGGCTGCTCCACTTCTGATCCAGCTCCCTGTTAATGGCCTGGGAAAGCAGCAGAAGATGGCCCAAGTGCTTGGGCCCCTGCATCTGTGTGGGAGACCCGGAAGAAGCTCCAGGCTCCTGGCTTCAGATCAGCGGAGCTCTGGCCATTGCAGCTATTTGGGAAGTGAACCAGCAGATGGAAGACCTCTCTGTAATGCTGCCTCATAAATAAATAAATAAATAAAAGCAACTCCAAAAGAAGAGTCCCCAAAATATTCTGTATCATTGTAGAATCACTAGATTAGAAATAGGTGTTTTTTCAATGTCCCTAATTTAAAGCACAATGCTCAAATATCAATGCTCTGATAAATTTTATTCATTCATATAGTAAACTTTTTAAAAGATTTATTTATTTGAAATGCAGACTAACAGAGAGAAAGAGAGAGAGACAGAAAGAGATAGATCTTCCGCCCAGTGGTTCATTCCCCATGTGGCTGCAATGGCCAAAGCTGGACAAGACCAAAGCCAGGAGTCAGGAACTCCATCTGGGTCTTCCAGGTCAGTTCCAGGGCCCCAAGTACTTGAGCCATCCTTTGCTGATTTTCCATGCACACTAGCAGGGAGCTGAATTGGAAGCAGAGCAACCAATACTCAACTCAGTACTTTGATCTGGGATGCCAGTGTGCAAGTGGCAGATTAACCCTCTGCTCCCTAACACTGGCCCCCAATAATAAGAATTTATTGAATGCCTGAGTCAGGCATTAACATAGGCATTCAGAATACATATCCACACTAAAACAAAGAGCCCCGGGGCAGGAGTTTAGCCTAGTGGTTAAGAATGACTGAATCCCTTATAGGAAGTACCTGGATTTGGTACTTGGGTCCTGACTCCTGCTTCCTGCTAATGCAGACCCCGGGAGGCAGTGGTGATGTCTCAAGGAATTGGGTTCCTGCAACCTACATGGATACCTAGAATGAGTTCCTGGCTCCTAGCTTTGGTCCAGTCAGCTATTGTTGGCACCTGGGGAGTGAACCAGAGGATGGGGCATTATCTCTCTCTCCCTCTCAAATAAATGAAAAACAAAAACAAAAATCCTTCAACAGCTCTTTGTTGAGTTCAGGATTACCAACACTCTAGTTCCTCCTGCTTCGTTGGACTTCTTGCCCACTGTAAGCCTGTTGGAATGGTTGCTGCTCCTCTATTCCATAAGCACACACAGCTTCTTCCCCCTTCCACCCAGGTTCTCAAGGAGTTTTCCTTTGTGTGGGTGGGTGTATACTGCACGCCCAGGGAAGTGGAGGACAGACAACAGATAATAAACTGAGTTGGTATAGGGGATCAGGAAAAGGGAATACAATTTAAAATAAGGTGGTCAGGGTAAGTTTCATGGAGAAAGGGAGAACTGTGGAGACTTGAAAGATGTGAGAACCCTCAAAGAACCCAGCTGTGGGTGAGAGAAGGAAAGGAATTCACTCACCGATCTTTATGTTATGTTGAGGGTGCTCTCGAATGAGCTGGACAATCTGGTGGGCAGCTTCTTGTCGGGTGGGAAGAACCAGGGCTGGGTTGCAGTTGGTGTTGTCTAGGTATAAAGTATGGATCTGTTTGCCCGATGACAGAGGAGGCTCCCTTAGCATAGATGGTGTATATCGAAAATCACCTAGAAGAACACATGTGGGGGCAGAGGGTCAGAAAGCAAGGACTAGAAGAGAAGCCTCTCCCACCTCAAGCACAGATGGGCATGTTCTTACTATTCTGAGTGCTGTGCAACATAGCTGCTTTGTGGAAATGTCTCCATCCCCGCCCTGCTCAAGAAATGTAGCATCGAGGCTGGGAAGATGGAAGGGACCCCTCTGGAGGCCCACCTGTGTAGAGGATGGTTCCAAAGTATCCTTCGAAGAGAAACATGACAGAACCAGGGCAGTGATGGGCATCCAAGAGGGTTACAGTCATGGTCTCTTGTCCAATTTCATCGAGCGGCAGCACGTGGCTCTCACCGACCTCTAGGGCTCGGATCCACTTCTTGGACACCTGGGGGAGCAACAGGGCATCCCTGGGACTATCCCGTATACAAACCAAGGAAAGCTGACAGAATCCTGAGTCACCCTGGGGCAGAAGCCGGGCTGAGGATTCCCAAGCATCCACCCATCCTCCTCCCGTTCCCCACCCTGCCCTTCAGACAACTTCCAAGCATTCAGAAAACAATCCAGTCAAGGATTCTCAGATTTTCTCCAGGTCCTAATAATCCCTTGAGGCAACTGTTAAAAAAAAAAAAATTCCAGCCAGATTTTTAGGATCCACACCAACCTACTGAATCAGATCGGGGGGCGTGGGAGGGGGCTGGACGATGTCTATTTCCCCAGCCTAGGTGGATTAAGATAAGACACGTTTAGGAAACATGGGCCTAGTTTATGGGAAAAGGTAGGGATAATTTCTGTGGGTGGGCTGAAAGGTTTCCCCAACTAAAATACTCAAATCGGTGAGTTGGAAGCCACGGTCGGCTGGATTCAAACTACTCCACATTTGTCAAAATCAGCCGTCCGGGGGGCCCACTCTGATTCCCAAGGCTGTGACAGGTCAGAATTCCCCACCCGGACGCCAGGACCAGCTCTGCGGAGGCCGACTCCGGTCCCCTGCCCCGTACCTGTCGCTGACGATGCAAGAGGTGGGCAGTGATTGGGGAGCAGTAAAGGGGCCGGGCCCAGGTGCTGGACAGGCCGACCGTGTGGTCCGAGTGCATGTGGGATAAAAAGAAAAGCCGCGCGCTACCAGCCCGGCGCAGGCTCCAGAAGTCCACAGCAATGGGCGTGTGCGGGATCAGGACCCCGTTCATGGTGGCGGGGCTCGAGTCACCGGTGGGGTCTTCCTGGGAACTGCGTTCCAGCGCCAGGCTTCCACCACGGCGCCTCAGACGTCATGCTGGGGCAGGAACTGGGCCACGGGCCCTAAGGGAAAAGTCAGCTCAGCAGAGAAGGCGCTAGAGTGGGCACCGTCGGAGCCGGGACGCAAACCGCGGAAGACGCGGCACAGAGAGCCACTCCTTCCCGCGCGGGAGCCCAGGGCCGGCCCCAGCACTCAAAGCGCGCGCTGCAGGGAGGAGACAGGCCGAAGCAGCCGATTTCCGATGGCCCGCCGCAGCTCCACCAGAGGTAGCCTCGCGGCTGCGCTGAAAGGTGAGAGGTTGGGGGAAGGGCATCCCTAAGGTCGGGATCGCCACCGCGCTCGGCGCTCGCAGGGAGAGGCAACTGCTAGAGGAGGGCCCTCCGCGAGGGGGCGGGACTTCCGCCGACAGCGCGATTGGGCCTATCGGAGCCGGCAAGAAAGGCTGGAACTGGAGAGGGCGGGGTTGTCCGCGGCGGGGTTGCAAATAGGACGCGGGGCCTAGAGGTAGCGGGTGTGATTTGTAGGCGGAGCGATCGGCCTGCAGGTGCGGGGTGAGGTCTGAAGGGCCCGGGGCGGAGGGAGGGAGCTCCCCAGGGTGCGAGGCTCCCAGGACTCGGGTTCCGGCTCCGGGGTCGGTGTCTTCTCCCTGACTGACGTTTCCTTCGTTCAGGCTCCGCATCAGGACCTGAAGGCGTCCACGCTTTGCCGGGGCGCGGTGGGAAGTGGCCCGAGACTGTTGGCGAGGATGCCGTACTTAGGCTCGGAGGACGTGGTGAAGGAGCTGAAGAAGGCTCTGTGTAACCCTCACATTCAGGCTGATAGGCTGCGCTACCGGAACGTCATCCAGCGAGTGATTAGGTACCGCCCACTGCCCCCCAGCCCCTGGGAAGGAGTGCACGCCGTCACCCGCGGCGGTTGTGCGGTGGGGGTTTCCTCCTGCTTCTCAGGAGCGTGCTGGTGGGAGAGCCCCGGGCTCAGGCTGTAACAGGCACACTGAACCGCCGACTTCCGGATCTGGGATAATGTTTAGCACAGACCTCCTTTTGTTGCTTCAGATGCCCTTGTCCTACTGCCTGCCTGGCATTTCCACCAGGATAGTTCATCAAAGGTTTGCCCAAAAGAGCACCAAGGTCCTTTCCCCCGCCCCGAACCTGCTCTTCCGCTTGTGTCTGTGTCAATGAGGGACGCCAGCCGGCCGCCTATATGAGTCAACCTTGGCACCTGAGCCTCACTTCTCTTGTCAGCTGGGATGATCTCACAGTTCTAAACATCCAGCCTCTCCGCGTCTCTCTCTTATTGGCACTGCTGGTGTTCTGGTTCAGGCCTTCATTACCAAAGCCAATTGCAATAGCTAACTAGTAGGTCACCTTGCCCCATTTAAGTCAGAATGTTTCCACTGTAACAAATCTGAACACATAATTCATGCCTACAGCTGTGGTTCACAGAATTTACTATGCACAAAAGCCCCCTCGGATGCCTTTTTAAAAATATATGTATTTTGGTCGGCGCGCGGCTCACTAGGCTAATCCTCCACCTTGCGGTGCCGGCACACGGGGTTCTAGTCCCGGTCGGGGCGCCGGATTCTGTCCCGGTTGCCCCTCTTCCAGGCCAGCTCTCTGCTGTGGCCAGGGAGTGCAGTGGAGGATGGCCCAAGTACTTGGGTCCTGCACCCCATGGGAGACCAGGATAAGTACCTGGCTCCTGCCATCGGATCAGCGCGCTGGTCGCGGTGGCCATTGGAGGGTGAACCAACGGCAAAAGGAAGACCTTTCTCTCTGTCTCTCTCTCTCACTGTCTACTCTGCCTATCAAAAAAAAAAATATATATATATATATATATGTATGTATTTTTCATCCTGTCTAACAATGGATTCTGATTTCAGTAGAGTGGGATGGAACCCAAGAATCTGTAATCTACAGAATGAGGTCCAAGCTTACTGTAAGCACCCAGCGACCACCCTGCTGATTCAGTTACTCCGAAAGAATGCAGCCTTCTTTCCCACGTTGTAGCATCGTCTCTCTGTCACATCTGCCACGAACTCCTGCTCATTCAGTCGAAGTATTACTTCCTCTGAGAAGCATTTTCTGGCTTCCTGTCTGGGTTGAACCTCTGGGTCCCCTCTGAACCTTGTAGGTTACTTTTGTTTAAATAGCTTAGCTATGGTACTATAATTAGTCTATTCTTGTCTCCCTCCTTAATAGGCTTTGGGTTTCTGGAGGCCTGAGATCATGCTCCCCTCCCCCCCCCCCCCCAAGAGTATGTCCCTAGAGTATTTTCCTGGAATGTAAGAGCTGAATTTCACTGGGATGGACTAGGCATTTAGTAAGTTTGCTGAATGAATAGAACGATGTTTATTGCAGGCCCGTGGTGTGAAGTATTGTGTGTAGACCTGTGCGCTTTCCAGGAGATCATGCACTAGCTGGAGAATGTATAAGGAGAATAGTCTTGTATGTTGGGGATTTTGCAGTTCCCTTCCTCCTGCCATGTTCTCTTGGTTTCAGGCACATGACACAGGGCTTGGACGTGTCTGGTGTTTTCATGGAAATGGTGAAGGCCAGTGCCACTGTAGATATTGTTCAGAAGAAATTGGTTTATCTGTACATGTGCACATATGCCCCCCTGAAACCAGATCTGGCGCTCCTGGCCATCAACACACTGTGCAAAGACTGCTCAGATCCTAACCCGATGGTGCGAGGGTTGGCACTACGGAGCATGTGTAGCCTCAGGTGAGCACCCTCGTCTCTACCTGGCCCTCTGTAGCTAATGAATTCAGAAGGTCACAAGGGCAGGAGCGTTTGGCCTGGTGGTTATGATACCGGCCAAGATGTCTGTATCCCACGCAAGAGTACCTGGGTTTGAGTCCTGGCTTTGGTTCCCAATTCCAGCGCCTTGCTAATGCAGTTTCTGGGAGGCACCAGGTAATGGCTCAAGTATTCGGCCCTGTCACCCACATGGAAGATCTGCATCGAGTTCCTGACTTCCAGCTTTGGACCCATCCAGCCCTGGCTGTTGCTGGCCTTTGGGAAGTAAACCAATGGACAGGAGCTCTATCTCTCTTGTTTCTCTGCCTCTGAGAAATCAAAAGAAGAAAAAAAAAAGGTCATGAGGCAGATTTTTAAGGAAGTTTATTTGAGCTCCTTAAATCTGGGGAAAACACTGCTGTACTCTGACTGAGCTCAGATTTCCAGCCATTAGTTTGGCTTCATGAACTATATCGTACAGTTTTACTAACAGGAGTTTTCCATTCTCACTCTCTGTAAAATAGTCCTTAGTTTGGTTAAAGATTTCTAAATAATCATGTGTTTGACTTTTTTTGCTGTTTGTGCAGTATCATTTCAAATGAAGAGTCAAGTGATAGCCTTTTAAGTTTGGTAGAGGCTTTCTCTATTTCTACATTATCTGATAGATGCAAATTCAAACATCTACTAAACTTTTTGTTAACAGGAGCTTAATTTTGTCAAAACTAGCATTTCAGAATCTGGCTGACTCCAGAATGTATTTGTTAGGATGCCTGGTGTGCAGGAATATATCCAACAGCCCATTCTCAATGGTCTACGAGATAAGGCTTCGTATGTCAGGAGGGTAGCAGTCCTTGGCTGTGCCAAGATGCACAATCTTCACGGAGACTCTGAAGTGGGTAAGTTCAGTATAATCCATTGTGATCAATATTTATTTGTGCTCCATTATATATATGACATTTTAAAACACGGTAGTTGTTTGGTAGAAGTTAACGTGGCTCTACTTTGTATATATCTTTTTAAAGTAGGATATAGTGCTTGGTATTTTCTGAGACGAGAGAAGTGCTTTCTTGCTTTCTTTGGGGGCCAAGTAAGATCATTTGCATTAGCTACTTAGGACCATCTAGAGTGTTTTTGGTTGTTGTTGTTTGTTTGCCTTTGTCATTTTTATAGCAGAGAAGTTCAGCTGTCATTGTGAGGAGCTGTTAACATGTTCCTTCCATGTCTGAGATCTTTGTTCTTTTTTTAATAGATGGTGCCCTGGTAAATGAGTTATACAGTTTGCTGCGTGACCAGGATCCAATTGTGGTTGTGAACTGCCTGAGGTCCCTAGAGGAAATTCTGAAACAGGAAGGAGGAGTGGTCATCAATAAGCCCATCGCCCACCATCTCTTAAATCGGTTTGCCTTTTTTTTTTTTTAAGATTTATTTATTTATTTGAAAGGCAGAGCTATAGAGAGGCAGAGGCAGAAGGAGAGAGAGAGAGAGAAAGAGAGAGAGGGAGAGAGGGAGAGAGGGAGGGAGGGAGAGGGGAGAGACATCTTCGATCCACAAGTTCACTCCCCAGATGGCTGCAATGGCTGGAGATCAGCTGATCCGAAGCCAAGCTTCTTCTGGGTCTCCCACATGGGTACGGGGCCCAAGGACTTGGGCCATATTCTGCTACTTTCCCAGGCCACAGCAGAGAGCTGCACTGGAGGTGGAGCAGTCAGGTCTCAAACAGGTGCCAATATGGGATGCTGGCACTGCAGGCGGTAGCTTTACCCACTAAGCCACAGCACCAGCCCCCCCACCCCACTTTTTTTTAAGATGTATTTATTTGAAAGGCAGAACTAGGGAGAAATAGATCTTCCATCTGCTGGTTCATTCCCCAAATGGCTGAAATAGCTGGAGCTGGGTCGATCTGAAGCCAGGAGATAGGAGCTTCTTTTGGGTCTCCCACATGGGTACAGGGCCCAAGTCCTTGGGCCATCTTCTGCTGTTTTCCCAGGCACATGAGCAGGGAGCTGGATTGGAAGTGGAGTAGCTGGGACTCAAACTGATACCCGTTTGGGATACTAGCACTGTAGGCAGTGACTTTACCTGTTACGCCACAGTGCCGGCCCCCTCAGTGCTCTTTTTCTGATGAGATCCACATCCCAGTGGGACCTCATTGATGTATTAAATTAAGGACAAGCCTTGAACAATTTCTGTAGGGTAGAAAATAAAGTTAACAATTTTTAGCTTCCTCCTATTTCACTGAGAGTTTACATTTGCCTCAGTTTCTCATGTTAATATCAAGATGACAGTTCTAGCCTTCTCCACAGTCATGTCCCCCAACTAAGCCATTTACAGTGTCTTAAAATAAAGACAATTCAGTATATACTGATCATGTCTTTGGCCTTACATGAGTGGGCATTTGTATTGTCAACTCATCTTGGAATTTAAAGCCTATTTTGTGTGAACTTTAGTACATAAAAAGAATGATTCAGGGGCAGGCATTAGGATACAGTAGGTTAAGCCACCCCTTGGGATACCCGTATCCCATATAGGAATGCCAGTTTAAGTTCTGACTACTCTGTTTCCAATCCAGCTTCCTGCTAATGCAACTAGGAAGACTGCAAATGATGGCTCAAGTGCTTGGGCTCCTGCCGTCCATGTGGGTGCCTGACTTCAACCTGGCTCAGCACTGGCTATTGTGATCATTTAGGAAGTGAACTGGTAAATAGAAGATTGATCTCTATCTCTCCCTCTCCCTCTTTCTCTCTCCTGTTTTGCAAGTATATGAAAATAAATAAGCATTTTTTTAAAGAAATGATAAACCAGCCAAGGATAAGCATTGGTAGACATCTTTTGTAGGGAATAAACATCAGCAATTTTTTTAAAGGAATGATTCAATTATGACAAGCCTTATTTTTAAAAATTCTCCCCTTGTTATGATGAGCAGCTGACTAAGGTGACAGTAGCATCGAGATTGGCCTAATTTTGTTGCTAAAGTAGTACTTTCGTTTTGTTTTTTGGACAGAATGTCAAAACTGGACCAGTGGGGCCAAGCTGAAGTGCTGCACTTTCTGCTGCGCTACCAGCCCCGCAGTGAGGAGGAGCTGTTTGACATCCTCAACCTGTTGGACAGCTTTCTCAAGAGCAGCAGTGCAGGTGTGGTGATGGGGGCCGCCAAACTCTTCCTGATCTTGGCAAAAAAGTTCCCTCACGTCCAGACCGACGTGCTTGTGCGAGTCAAGGGACCTTTGCTGGCTGCCTGTTCTTCCGAGAGCCGTGAGCTCTGTTTCGCTGCCCTGTGTCATGTGCGCCAGATCCTGCACAGCCTGCCAGGTCACTTTAGCAGCCAGTACAAAAAGTTCTTTTGCTCCTATTCGGAGCCCCACTACATTAAGCTGCAGAAAGTGGAGGTGCTGTGCGAGCTGGTGAACGACGAGAACGTGCAGCAGGTGCTGGAGGAACTGCGAGGGTACTGCACGGATGTGTCTGCTGACTTTGCCCAGGCTGCCATCTTCGCTATAGGTGGGTGTCTACTACTGTTCTCTTTCTCTCTCCCTGTCTCTCTCTCTCTCTCTCTTTAAGATTTATTTATTTGGAAGAGTTACAGAGAGGCAGAGACAGAGTGAGAGAGAGAGAGGTCTCCCACCTGCTGGTTCACTCCCCAGAGGGCTGCAACAGCCGGAGCTGCAACGATCCAAAGCCAGGAGTTTCTTCCGGATCTCCCACGTGGGTGCAGGGATCCAAGGACTTGGGCCATCTTTTACTGCTTTCCCAGGCCACAGCAGAGAGCTGGATCAGAAGTGGAGCAACTGGGACCCAAACCGGCACCCATATGGGATGCTGGCACTGCAGGTGGCGGCTTTACCTGCTACGCCACAGCACCAGCCCCTACTTTTCTCTCTCAGACCTCAGCCCAGCCATCTAGAAAGCAGGAGTCAGAGGAGCCATAGAGAGCAAAAGGGAACAAACTTTGTCTCAGAGACAAAGTACCATGCACCAAAGAATGGAGTCAGTGATTACAGCAAGGTGGAAGGCAGATTTTGATTTTTGGTTTTTGGTCAAGATGGATGTTGTCATTATCTTCCAGGATATAGAGTATATTACTAGAATTCACATTGTCTTTTGTTGTCTTCCATCTAAAATTTTTTTCCTATATATAATTTTCCCACAAGAAAAATGGGAAAAGTGAACAAATGTTATTAGTTTTACTTTATTTTATTTTTTAAAGATTTATTTGTTTATTTTGAAAGAGTTATGGAGAGTGAGAGATAGAGAAAGAGGATCTTCTGTCTGCTGATTCACTCCCCAAATGGCCGCAATACCGGGGCTGGGCCAGGCAGAAGCCAGGAGCTTCTTCCAGGTCTCCCACGTGGGTGTCAGGGGCCTAGGCACTCAGGCCATCAGCAGGGAGTTAGCTCAGATGTGGCGCAGTGCCTATACAGGATGCTGGCATCACAGGTGGTTGCTTTACCTGCTACACCACAACGACAACCCTTTAGCTTCATTTTAAAGCTAAAATCAGGCACAAAGAAATGTTAATAAATTGCCATATATTCCTGAACTTGGACCGGAACCTGGCTTTCCGGACTCAAAGACCAATGCCAATTCACCATTTATTGAGCTTTTACTATGTATTGTGTTGAGTATAGCCAACAGAATACTTCCTAAATCTATGAGAGACTTTTTCATACTACTACTCTGAATGGAGTTTAAAAGACTAGAGAGGTTCAAAAAATGAAAGCAACTGGGGAACTAAGTTTTGATGGTCTTCAGGTGGAGGAGGAGGAAGAACACTTATACTTGGGGTAAAGTATGCTGCTTTTTAGGAGCAGAGAAGAGGGAACACAGAAGAGAGTAGAAACCCTTAGAGTCAGGAGACTGCTGCAGTGGTCCCCAGCAGCAGGCGTATTCCTAGAGAAGAAATTGTCCTTGCAAGGACAATTGTCCTTGCCTCAGACCTGACTGCCGTGTACAGATACCTTTGCTACTGTAAGTTTGTTCATGGGACAATCTTCAACATGAAAACTTCTCTTGCTATGAACTTCCCATTTTCTGCTTTTAACAATAGTTTTTTTTAAAAAGATTTATTTATTTGAGAGGCTGAGTCACATAGAAAGGAAGTGAAAGCCAGAGATCTCCATTCACTGGTTCATTCCCCAAATGGCCACAATGGCCAGGGCTGGGCTGGACCAAAGCCAGGAGCCAGGTGCTTCTTCCCAGTCTCTTATGTGGATGCAGGGGCCTAAGCACTTAGGCCATCATCTGCTGCTTTCAAGGCACGTTACCAGGGAGCTGGATCAGAAGCAGAGCAGCCAAGACTCAAACCAGCCCCCATATGGAATGCTGACGTGGCAGGCGGCAGCTTAATCCATTGTGCCACAATGTTGGATCCCAACAGAATTAATTTTAAAGTTTGTTTTATACCAAACTTAGATTCCTCTTTTTTTTTTTTTTTTAAGATTTTTATTTATTTATTTGAAAGGCAGAGTTACAGAAAGGCAGAGGCAGAGAGAGAGAGGTCTTCCATCCTCTGATTAACTCCCCAAGTGGCTGCAACGGCTGGAGCTGGGCTAATCCAAAGCCAGAAGCCAGGAGCTTCTTCCAGGTCTCCCACATGGATGCAGGGGGCCAAGGACTTGGGTTATCTTCCACTGCTTTTCCAGGCCAAAGCAGAGAGCTGGATTGGAAGTGGAGCAGCCAGGACTCGAACCAGCACCCACATGGGGTGCCGGCACTGCAGATGGCTGCTTTACTCACTCTGCCACAGTGCCAGCCCCCTAGATTCCTCTTAGTTCATCAAGTAAGGGGTAATTTTTTTAAAAAGATATCTCTGGTCCTCTTTGTCTTTGGTGGAAAATGATCTTAGAGAAAGGTGCTAGTATTTGGCTTACTGATTTTCTGTTTTTCCTCCTCTGGAAGGTAACATTGCCAGGACTTACACAGATCAGTGCGTACAGATTCTTACAGAACTGTTGGAGCTGCGACAAGAGCACATTACCACAGGTAATAGCTATCTTTCTAGAATTTTTTTTGGCGGGAGCAGGGGGTTATCAACTGGGCAATTATAGTTGCTGAAAAGATATTTGTTGTTGAATGACTATTAATAGAAGGGTTTTCCTTGTATCATCTTGTGGTGTTGTCAGAGAAGTATATGACATATAGAGCTAGTAGAGTAGAGAATCTTCAGGGTGCCTTGGTCTGCAGGGCTATTCTATAGATGAAGGAGGGTATAATTTTCCCCACCTTTACCGCTCTTTTTGCTCTATGACATTATACAATAGGCAGTGGCTTCCAGGGCGGGAACTATGGTGAGACAAGCAAAGTGCGTAGAATGCCAGTGAAAGAAGGTGCTTGGTAGGGAGGCACCGGTGCAGGTGCAGCCATGCGTGTCTTGGACTTTGCACCTTAGACACCTCACTTGTCTCACCAGAGTCCCAGTCCTGGTGGCTTCATTAATACTGTCTTCAAAGTATCTCTTTACAGCAACACTGTCCTGCAGTTCGCATATAGCTGTACATTTCATGAAGTGCTTTCCCACACATTAGTTCATCTGTCCTCATCTCAATCTAATAACAACATCCATTCCAGATATTATTGCCCATGTCATACATTTCTCAGATGTTCATTGCCTACCCTGCAAAACCCATGTCACTGAAGATCATCAGACATCAAGTCTAAATGCCTGACTCTTGTGATTCCTGCCTGCGTGGAGGTTCTAATCCTGTACTCTTCTGCCCTGGGCCGTGTTGCAGTGGTGGTGCAGACTTTCCGAGACCTGGTTTGGTTGTGTCCTCAGTGTACCGAAGCTGTGTGTCGGGCCCTGCCTGGCTGTGAAGAGCACATTCAAGACAGTGAGGTAGACTGCTACTCACTTGGACTTTTAGGTAGAGGGGGAATGCATGGGACTCGGCCCTCCAAGATGGAATCCAATTCTTCTCTCAGAAGTGGAAAACTCTTAGAACTGACTGCCAACTCACATTCTCTTTTGGATGTGGATAGCATATAAATTATGAAAAGAGGTTTAATATTATTATTACAATTCTTTATACCATTATTTTCTCTTTCAAAAATATTTTTATTTGAAAGGCAGAGTTAGAGAGAGAGGGAAAAACAGAAAAACAGATCTTCTATCTGCTGATTCACTCCCCAAGTAGCTGCCATGGCTGGGGCTAGGCCAGGCTGACGCTGGGAACCTAGAACTCTACCCAGGTCTCCAACGTGGGTGGCAGGGACCCACTTGGGTCATCTTCCACTGCTTTTCCAGGTGCATTAGCAGGGATCTGGATTGGAAGTGGAGCAGCCAGGACTCAAACCACTCATATGGGATGCCAGTGTTACAGGTAGCGGCTTAGCTTGCTGTGTCACTACACTGGCCCTAGCCATTGTTTTCTTGAACAATTTCTAGCTAGAGGTTGAGACCATGAAGTTTATGACTAGAATCAGAACCAGAATCATCTGTGAAAGTTATACAAAGATTTGGCTTCACCATGGATTTAGAGATATAAATATTGCAGCAGATGGATATAGAGAGCTTTTTAAAAATTATTTATTTGAAAATGAGAGGTGAGGGGTGGAGTAGAAGAACAACAGAGTGAGAGAAACACAGAAACAGAGAACTTCATCTGCTGTTTCACTCCCCAGATGTCCACAACAGTTGGGGCTGGGCCAGGCTGAAACCAGGAACTCAATCCTGGCTTCCCATGAGGGTGGCAAGGACCCAAGCACTTGGACCATTACCTACTGCTTTCCAGGGTGCACATTAGCAGGAAGCTGGAATAAGAAAAAAGCTGAAGACGGCAAGGTCCCTCACAAGAAACTGGCAGCTTGCCCAGCTCTCCTAGCCTTTGCTCACCTCCTGCCCCTCTTTAATAGTTGCTCAGCGTGCATCTGGCCTTTTACACCGGAGCTTTTCAACCCCAGCTGCCAGAACACTGCTAATACTCCTAAAGAGGCGAGGCTTCGGGACCGGAAGAAGCTTTTGTTGCCACTGATGCCCTGCCCTGGGGGGGGGGAGGGTTGCCAGTTGCTCCAGCTTGTAGAGGTGGTATTAGTCAGGACTGGCGATCTTTTGTAGAGGCATAGCGACAAAGGTTGAGGGAGCCCCTGCACCAGATTCCCTTTCCAGAGACGGATACAAGTGACTGCGTCCGTTCTGTTCCGCACCAGCTCCCGGGCCGGTCAAGCCGACCTCAAAGACCTGGTGGTTTGTCATATTTGAATCACGTTATGGGCTGCTAGACAAACTTTCAGGCTTGCTTGGCCTGAAGAAGGAGGTTCATGTTTTGTGCCTCAGTCTGGATAATAGTGGCAAAACAACAATCATCAACAAACTTCAACCTTCAGGTGCTCAATCTCAAGATACAGTTCCAATGATAGGATTCAGGATACAATCCAATGATAGGATTTTCAGTAGAGAAATTCAAATCATCCAGTTTATTTTTTACAGTGCTTGACACGTAAGCTCAAGGAGGATACAGAAATCTCTGGGAACACTGGTATAAAGAAGGACAAGCCATTATCTTTGTCATTGATAGTAGTGGTAAGTTAAGAATGGTTGTGGCCAAAGAAGAACTTGATTACTCTTCTGAATCATGCAGATATTAAACATCATCGAATTCCAATCTTACTCTTTACAAACAAAATGGATCTTAGAGATGCAGTGACCTCTGTGAAAGTGTCTCAGTTGCTGTGTTTAGAGAACATAAAAAATAAACCATGACACATTTGTGCTAGTGATGCCATAAAAGGAGAAGGCTTGCAGGAAGGTGTAGACTGGCTTCAAGATCAGACCCAGGCTGTAAAGACGTAAAGCGATAGTATTTGGAAACCTCAAAAACTTTGACTTCAAGGAATATTCTAAGGCTAACTGAATACCTTACATTTTTTAAAAAAATGTGTGTGCATCCAAGAGTGTTCTGTAATGTTCTGCTTGCATTTATGGACTCTGGATGACCTTTTTAAGAACATAAGGCTTCAGGTATGCTAGTGTGACCATTAATTATATGAAAATTAAATCTTCCCTCAAAAGGATTCTGTAGAATTACCTACTTCTTGTTCAAGATGTCCATTTTATTATAATTAGGATGCTTAAAATCAGAGTTATAAGCCAAGCCATCTCAGTATTTCATCATGATTTATGGTATCTTGTAATATATTTTATCTTTTAATTGTCTTCAAAAATTTAGTTTATGGCATAACTTTGCAGTATGAATTGTGCATATGAAAAAGAACTTGAAATATTTATAAGGGACTTGGTAATTAATATAAAATTTTTACTGTGTATCATTATCAATAAAATATAAAATGAAGTTTTTTTTTTAAAAACAGAGCCAGCATCTAGTGTAGCCGGTGTAGCCACCACCCACCATGCTGGCATCCCATATAGGTGTCAGTTCGTGTTCTGGCTGCTTCACTTCTGATACAGCTCTCTGCTAGTGGCCTGGGAAAAAAGCAGAAGATGGTACAAGTGTTTGGGCCCCTGCATCCACATGGGAGACTCAGATGAAGCTCCTGGCCTCTGGCTTCAGCCTGGCTTAGCTCTGGCCATTGTGGCCATCTTGGGAGTGAACAAGCAGATGAAGATCTCACTTTCCCTCTGACTTTCAAATAAATAAATAAGTGTTTTGTTGTTGTTGTTTTTAAAAAAAGAAAAAAGAAAAAGAGCAGAGCCAAGACTGGAATCCAGCAACCCCAATATGGAATGCATTCATCGTAAACAGCACACCACATGCCTTCCCCCAGAGAGATTTTTTTAAGACGCTTTGGGGCTGGCTTTGTGGTATAATGGGTTAAGCTGCTGCCTACAAGATCCACATTGCACAAGGGTTCTAGTTTGAGTCCTGGAAGCTGCACTTCCAATCCAGCTCCCTGTTAAAATGCCTGGGAAAGCAGCAGAAGATGGCCCAAGTGCTTGGGCCCCTGCACTCATGTGGGAGACCCAGAGGAAGCTTCTAACTGCTGGCTCCCAGCTCCTGGCTTCATCCTGGCCTAGCCCTGGTCATTGTGGCCATTTGGGGAGTGAACTAGCAAATGGAAGATTTCTCTGTCTCTCACTCTTTCTGTAACTTTGCCTTTCAAATAAATAAAATAAATCCTAAAAAAAAAAAATGCACTGTAGGTTAATAACCTTACAAAAAAAATTGAGAAGTTCTTTTAGGAGCTGCCGCTGAAACACTAAACCCCAAATTGGGTCAGAGGCCCTAAAGCAAAAAGAAGCCTGGTTATTGCTTAATCAAGTAGGTTATAAAAGTTTTGAGTTTCCTCTTTTGCGTTAGAATTTCATTCCTGTTTGTTGTAGAGTATAGCGATCAATACACTATAAGTTGAAGTAAATTAAAGATTATATCTCTTCTGGCATTAGGGGGAAAGCAAACCTGTAATCCTCTACTGTCTCCTGTGTTTGGATAGCCACGTACTGAGCTTCTGTTCTTACTCTCTCGTTCTCTAGGGCAAGCAGGCTCTTATTTGGCTACTTGGAGTCCATGGGGAAAGAATCCCCAATGCTCCTTATGTGTTAGAGGACTTTGTAGAGAATGTGAAGTCAGAGACGTTCCCAGCTGTTAAGATGGAGCTCCTCACAGCACTACTGCGCCTCTTCCTCTCCCGACCTGCTGAGTGCCAGGACATGCTGGGGCGTTTGTTACATTACTGCATAGGTAGGTTTTTCAAAAGAAAATAGTACTTGCCTTGATGCCTCTTAAAGTTCTCACAGTTTTTGTTGTTCTGTGAGTCATATCTTGGACCTGAGAAAAATAATGTTCATGCTTTCTAGACTTTTTTTCCCTTTTTCATTTTTTTCCTCCCTTTATGATTGGCACAAGGGTAAAAGGAGAGTGTTTTTGTTTTTAGTTAACTTAGTCTGTTGTCTTACCTCAGAGGAAGAAAAGGATATGGCCGTGCGAGACCGTGGTCTCTTCTGTTATCGCCTCCTCTTGGCTGGCGTTGATGAGGCTAAGCGGATCCTGTGTAGCCCGAAGTCTGACCCTTCTCTTCGTCTTCTGGAGGATCAGGCAGAAAGACCTGTGAACAGCTGGGCCGCAGACTTCAACACGCTGGTGCCAGTGTATGGCAAAGCCCGCTGGGCAGTGATCTCTAAATGCCAGGGACCAGAGCGTTGTGGCCCAGAGCTTCCCAACACTGCGTCATTTGCCACATCAGGTAAAAGTGGCCCTTTACCTTATCTCTATCATGCTAAGTCTTTATCTGTCTCAATGACTGGTAGAAAGTGGAGTTCCCTAGCTAAATATCAGAGTGTTACCTGAATTTGAAGCCTTTGTAAACAAGAAGGAAGTTCATCCTTGGTTATTTAAGCCATTTCTCCAAAGACAGATTCAGATTTTGAATCTTTGAGAATGTAGATTTAAAAATGTAGCTCTTATTATAGATGCAGAACATCTCTCACACACGCTTTCCAACTCTTTCAGGACCCCTGATTCCTGAAGAGGACAAGGAGAGGGGACAAGATCTCCCTGATTCTGGAGCCCTCATGCTTGTCCCCGACTGCCAGCTTACTGCCGAGTATTTTGAGAAAACCTGGCTGAGCCTCCAAGTTGCTCATCAGCAAGTGCTGCCTTGGCAGGGAGCAGTCCATCCTGACACCTTCCAGATGGCTCTACAAGTAGTAAACATCCAGACCATCGCCATGAGCAGGGCTGGGGCCCAGCCCTGGAAAGCCTACCTCAGCGCTCAGGATGACACTGGCTGTCTCTTCCTAACAGAACTGCTCTTGGAGCCCAAGACCTCGGAAATGCAGGTCTCAGTGAAACAGAGTGAGGCAAGGACTGAGACGCTGAACAGTTTTATGTCTGTATTAGAAACTGTGATTGGAACGATTGGAGATCTAAAGTCCTGACAGATCCTTGCCACTTTTCCTGAACGAGACAGACAGCTCGCAGAGTTCCTTATCTCTGTCGTCAGAGCTGCTTGCAAGTCAGATCGTATCAGAGGCAAAGGAGGATGGGAAATCTAGGAATCAGGAGTCTTAGATTTTAGTCCAAAGACTGTTGACTTATTCCTTTCATACCCTTGGTGATTGGCCCCATTTTTTAATGATGGTGTTACAAAGCTCAGTGTTGGGAAGAGGGTGAGGTTGGGATTGGGGGGTCTTTCCGAATCTGTTTTAAGGACTGTGTTACTAATTAAAGATGGCTGCTCTCTGTGGAAACTGATAGGAGTCATCATTTGTGGGGCTCGTCTTTCTGGCCACTCCCCAAACACCCTCTCTCCTGGCAGAAGCAAACCGCTTGCAGTTTGCTCTGTGCACCAGGCTCGCTCTCACCTCTGTGCTTTATCATTTGCTTTTATTTCTTTCCCAGAACATCTCCTCACCCTCATATCTTGTTTAGTCCACACCCAGTGTGTCTTTCAGTGTTAAGCTCATTGATGAGCTCCTTCCAGAAGCTTGCTATGACCCTACTGTCCTCATTAAGGAGCCTGTTCAAGCTCTTAGAGCAGCCAGTGTATCCCTCTCGCAGTACTATTAGAATCATTTTGTCATTCGTCCTCACCTTGTGTTTTATTCCTCACTTGACCACATTAATACATTAATCTTGAAACTTAACAGCAAGAGCTGATATTGCAAAATGATGATAATTAAGAGAATCTAGAACAGGGAAATATTAAATTACAGTTGAGATGAATTAGGAATGGGGAAATAGACACATGTTCAGGCTGTAAGGGCCTACATAGATGATAGAGTGGAACCTCACATTTGACTCTACAGGTGATTTGGCACCTTTAGAGTGAAGAAAACAGCTATAAAATTGTCATCAGAGAGGAAGAAATACTCCAACTTTAATTTCTTTAAGAAAACTGCATGCTTCACAAAGCTGGCAGTAAGTGTTATATGTATGTGATCTACGGGAAGTTGGTAAAGGGTTTTATATGACTATTTCTTACCAGTGTTCTTCAGTGAAAGCAGAGTATAATTTTAACATGGAGCATAAGTAAGGCATTTCTCCAAGGACTTAGGATAATATGCTCCAAGTAGATAGCCTTCATCATCCAGCTTCTACTACCCAGATACATAGATGGACTGCATAGCTTTCAGATAATGTTTGACCCATCACTGTCGGCTAGGCTCTTCCCAGGAGCAGATAACAGACAGCTGTGACTTTTCTAGTTGTTTCCCAGAGTCTTCCGCACCGGACAACTACTAAGGATGATGAATATGTTTGTTTCTCTCCATCTCCACAGTGCCTACCTGTTTGTCGAGTGGCTATAAGTTAATTAGATTCTGGTGGTGTTTTGAGATTGGTATTTCAAGTATGTTTTATTATATTATATCCACTATACAGAAAATAATGGGATCCCATCTAGGCAGATTTTCTTAAAAATGACAAAATTGACATTTGGGCTAGATAATTCTTTGTTGTACAGGGCTTTCCTGTGCACTGTGATTATTTACAGCGTCTCTGGTTTCTGCCTGCTGGATGCCTGTCAAAACCCCAGGCATGTCAACAAAAAATGGCTCCAGATGTTGCCAAAGATCCCCTGGGTGGGCACCACTGCCCCTGTTTGAGAACCATGGTCTAGCTAGCAGCTGCAAAGGGAGTGATCAGAACAGCTTCAGAATTGCTTTGCCATGTTTTTATTTGTTCAGTTAAGCCCATAAATGTTTAAGTAGGTACTAAAAGAAATGAAACTGAAGTGTTAAGAGCTTCCAACTTAAAGTATGACAAGGGAACAGAATGTAGGTGGTGGAAATTGAATAAATTAATTGGCTTTTTTTAAAGACTACCAATATGACTGAAATGTCAACCTAAAGAAAATTAGGTATGGCTCAGCAATTTTGAATAAATAATGTTATCAAAGTGGTCTAAACTATTAGAGCTCTTAGGAGACTTATGTTTGGTGCCAGCATTGTAGCTCAGAGGGTTAAGCCACTACTTGCAAGGCCAGCATCTCATGTCAGTGCTGGTTTAGATGCCAGCTGTTCTGCCTCTGATCCAGCTCCCTGCTAGTATGGAAAGCAGCAGAGGATGGCCCAGGTGCTTGGACCCTTGCCACCCATGTAGGAGACCAGGATGGAGTTCCAGGCTCCAGGCTTTGGCCTGGGCCAGCCCTGCTGTTGCTGACATTTGGGGAGTGAACCAGCAGATGGAAGATTTCTCTCTTCTCTCTCTCTCTCGCTCCTGCCTTTAAAATAAATAAATCTTTAAAAAAAAAAAAGAAAATTAAGTTCTACTTAGTTGCTTTTTTTTTTTTTTGTAATGTAAGGCATAACTAGCAGAATATGAAATTGTTGCTTTTGGAAACTATGCTTTTTTTTAAAGATTTATTTTATTTATTTGAAAGAGTTATAGAGATAGAGACAGAGAGAGTAGTCTTCCATCCGCTGGTTCACTCCCCAGATAGCCGCAACAGTCGGAGCTGCGCTGGTCCAAAAGCAGAAGCCAGGAGCTTCTTCCAAGTCTCCCATGTGGGTGCAGGGGCCCAAGGACTTGGCCATCTTCTACCACTATCCCAGGCCATAGTAGATAGTAGAGAGCTGGATCGGAAGAGGAGCAGCCGGGACTAGAACCAGCGCCCATATGGGATGCTGGCGCTTCAGGCCAGGGCTTTAACCTGCTGCGCCACAGCGCTGGGCCCCTGGAAACTATACTTTTATTATTCGTTCATTTTTATTTGACAGAGAGATAGAATGTGCTCCCATCTATTGGTTCACACCCTAAATGTCCACAGTGGCTGGGCTAGGCCAGGCTAAATCTGGGAATCAGGAATTTAATCCAGGTCTCCTATGTGCATGGCAAGGACCCAGCTACTTAAGCCATCACCTATTACTTTGCAGGGTGCACATTAGCAGGAAGCTGGTACCGAAAGCAGAGGCAGGGCTTGAATCCAGCACTCCAGTATGGGATGGAGGTACCCAAAGAGGTGTTTTAACCTCTAGTAGGGGTAGGGAATCTTTTTTCTGTCAAGGGCCATGCAAAATTATCAACTTGGGGCCTACGCTGTGGCATGGCAGGTAAAGCCACTGCCTGCAGTGCCAGCATCCCATATGGGCACCGGTTCAAATCCCAGCTGCTCCACTTCTGATCCAGCTCTCTGCTATGGCCTGGGAAAGCAGTAGAAGATGGCCTAAGTCCTTGGACCCCTGCATCCATTCCAGGTGGGAGACCCAGATGAAGCTCCTGGCTTCTTGGCTTCAGATGGGCGCAGCTCTCCAGCCATTGCGGCCAACTGGGGAGTGAACTGACAGATGGAAGACCTCTCTCTGTCTCTCTATCTCTCTCTTCCTCTGCCTCTCTGTAACTCTACCTTTCAAATAAATAAATAAAGCTTTAAAAAATTATCAACTTAAAAATTAACTTGCTATAGATTTATTGAATTTGGAGTCCTGCCTGCATTGGCCTTGGCAGGGCCAGACCCAATGATTTCATGGGGTCTATTGCAGCCCTCGGGCCAGGCATGCCCACTCCTGCTAGTCAAGACACTCACACTGAAAGTGCACAGTTAAGTCTCAGTAAAGAGCTAGTTTCTCCTGTAGCCTGGTTTTACTAATTTGTAAACAAAACAATTGAGGCTCAAGCATTCCATGAAGTTAAGTTTAATTCTTTACTATTCTGTCCACTTAGGCGCACTCTCTTTAGCTTCTGCTGATGTGTGATTTAAGGATGTGATAAAAGTGCATGCTTACCTCTTAAAATCCCTAAGAGTATTTGATACTGTCCTCTTACGACAGTGGCTTTCTAAGTTCAGTCTTAGCTGGAAGGTAAGCAGTATGCAGCATGTGGAATGAGTGCCTGTGGAGACAGTGGGGTTTTAGAACTTTGCAGAAGCCACCTTTTGCTTGGTTACTCACCATAATTTTATTGTCACGGACCAGTGATGATTGTATACCACCATTTCTCCTCTCTTTGAAGGGGAGTTCTGCCACAGTTATTCTTTCTCAGATATTGAGTAGAGGGTGAGGGGACATAGGACTTGTTTTTGTAGTTACAGGTCTCTATGTTGAGAGGAGCAGCACCCAAGGACAGTCCTCCACATCCACATCTGTGCAGATGACGAGATCCTGAGCTTTGAGCCAGGGATGTAATGGTACAAGGCTTTTAGGGGAGGGATGTCAATGGAGGGCAGCAAGGGAAGCAAGTTGTAGTGAAAGAATTCGGGCTTCATCATTTTTCAAGAATAATTAGAACCACGATATTAGAACTGCAAGGGTAAAGGTATGTGGGCTGGGAGGAAGAAATGGTTCAGAAAGGTGTTGCATTGAAGGCCCAGAGAGAAGTAAGTAAGGGGGGAAATTTACTCCATGTTGCCCATGAAAGCTTCTACTGTGTTTCTATATTCCAATATTGGTTATAAAGGATAACGCAAGGGGGCTGATGCTGTGGTGTAGTAGGTTAAGCTGCCACCTGCAGTGCTGGCATCCCATACGGGTGCCAGTTTGAGTCCCAGCTGTTCCTTTAATGATCCAGCTCTCTGCTTACAGTCTGGGAGGGCAGTGGAAGAAGGCCCAAGTCCTTGGGCCCCTGCACCCATACGGGGGACCCAGAAGAAGCTCCTGGCTCCTGGCTTCAGATTGGTCCAGCTCCAGCCTTTGCAGCCATTTGGGGAGTGAGCCAGCAGATGGAAGACCTCTGTCTCTGTGTCTCTGTCTCTCCCTCTCTATAACTCTGCCTCTTAAATAAATAAATAAACCTTAAAAAAAAAAGGATAATGTAAGAGTCAAGATTAGATTCCAAAGATAATTTTTTAAAGAAGATTTATTTATTTGAAAGGCAGAGCTACAGAGAAGGAGAGGCAGAGAGAGAGAAATCTTCCATCTGCTGGTTCACTCTCCAAATGGCTGCAATGGCCAGGGCTGGGCCGGGCTAAAGCCAAGAGCCAGGAGCTTCATCTGGATGTGCCACATGGGTGTAGGGGCCCAAACGCTTGGGTCATCCTCTTCTATCCTAGACACATTAGCAGGGAGCTGGATCAGAAGTAGAGCAGCCTGGACTTGAATCTGTGCCATACGGGATGCCGGCATTGTAGACATTAGCTTAACCCACTATGCCACAATGCTGACCCCACCCTCCAAAGATGGTATTTAACCATAAACATATCAATAGTGAAATGAGGAAGGTGGTATGTTATTGTGGGAAAAGCTTGAATTTGAGCTAAGACAGACCTGGTTCTGAATTTCTATTCTGGGACAGGTCCTTGGCCTGGCAGTTAAGTCAGTAGTTAGGACACCTGCATTAAAGTTTCCAGGTCTGATACCTGCCTCTGGCTCCTGACTCCAGCTTCCTGGTAATGTGGACCCTGGAGAAAGCAGTGTTCCTGCCACCCACATGAGACACCTGGATTGAGTTCCTGGCTCTTGGCTCCTGGCTCCTGGCTATGGCCCCAGCCCACCTCTACCTGTTGTGGGTATGTGGAGGAATGAACCAGCAGATGAGAGTTCTCTCTCTGCATCTCAAATACATAAATAAATGAAATTTTCTGTTTTGCCACTTACTGATGTGAGAACTTGGGCAAGTTATTTGCCAGTTAGTTAATGTCTTATACTCAATGTTTATTTTTGTATATTTGGGAATATGTCAAAATGTTTTTCTCAGAATCCTTAAATTGTCAGTGGCTGGCTCTTGTGTGAAGAGGTTGGCCTACGTTTTCTCAGAGTACTCTTCTAGAGTTAGAGGTCTGAGGACTACTGAAAAAACTATAGACTCAGCCATTTTGTTTATAGAGAGAATGAGTGCTTGACGACAACAAATGAAAGTGGCCTTGTAGGACTGGCATTGCGGTGCAGCAGGTTAAGTTGCCCCTGCAATGGCAGCATGTCATAAGCACTGATTTGAGTTCTGGCTGCTCCGCTTTTGGTCCAACTCCCTGCTAATGTGCCTGGGAAAGCAGTGGAAGATGGCCAAGTATTTGGGCCCCTGCCATCCATGAAGAAGACCTGGATGGAGCTTCTGGATCCTGGCTTCAGCTTGGCCCAGCCCTGACCGTCACGGCCATTTGGAGAGTAAACCACAGGATGGAAGATCTCTCTCTGTCTCTCCTTCACTCTCTATAACTGCATTTCAAATCAAATAAATACATCTTTTTTTTTTTTATAAAATGACCCTTTAAATATATAGAATCAATTGCTGCTTCTAGTCTAAAAACAATTTTGATCATTTTAAAAAATTAAGATTTCCTTTGAGCAGTTTTAGATTCACAGAGAAATCGAGAAGAAGGAATAGAGATTTCTCATACATCCTCTGCCACCACACATGCATGGCCTCTCTCCTTATGAATGCCAGAGTTGTATATTTGTTCTAATTTTCATAACTTTCATCTAAATTCCTCTTGGCCTTTTCATGGCTCAATAACTAATTTCTTGTCAGCACTGAATAATTATCTAGATATACCAAAGTTTACTTTTCATGTACTAAAGGACATCTTGATTGCTTCTCAGTTCTGGCAATTATTATTATTATTATTTTTAAGATCTGTGCGCTTATTTATTTGAAAGGCAGAGTAAGAGAGAGAGAGAGTCAGAAAGCTCTTCCACTTGTTGATACTCTCTTCAAACAGCCACAACAGCCAGGGCTGGACCAGGCCAAAGCCATGAGCCAGGAACTCCAACCTGGTCTCCCACATAGGGGGCAGGGGCCCAGGTACCAGGGCCACCTTCTGCTATCTTCCCAGGCACATTAGCAGGAAGCTGGGTCAGCAGCAGGGTAGCCAAGACTTGAACTGGCACTCTACGAGATGCAGGTGTTATAGGTTGTGGCTTAACTTGCTGTGCCTCAACACTGGCCTCAAATTTTGACAATTATGAATAAAGCTGTTTCAAATATCCATGTGTGTGTGTTTGTGTGGACCTAAGTTTTCAGTGTCTTTAGGTACATAACAAGGCATGTGATTGCAGATTGTATGGTAATAGAATGTATAGAATATGTCAGACTCTTCTGAAGTGGCTCTACCGTTTTGCACTGCCCACAGCCCACTGCTACCCCACCGCAAATGAGCATTCCTGTTGCTCCACATCCATGCTAGCATTTGGTGTTATCAGTGTTCTGGGTTTGGCCATTCTAATAGATATGTTGTAGTCATCTGTTTTTTAAAATGGAAGGAAACAGAAGAGTGACTGGTTATTTTGCAAGACAGAAATTCTGTTCTGAACAACTGACTATTTGTGCTTGAATTTTTTAAGAGTTTTTTTTTTAAAGATTTATTTATTTATTTGAGAGGCAGAGTTACAGACAGAGACAGAGACAGAGACAGAGACAGAGAGCGCTCTTCCATCCACTGGTTCACTCCCCAAATGGCTGCAGCAGTTGGAGCTGGACAGATCCGAAGCCAGGAGCCAGGAGCCAGGAGCGTCTTCTGGGTCTCCCATGTGGGTGCAGGAGCCCAAGCACTTGGGCCATTTTCCACTGTTTTCCCGGCCATAAGCAGAGAGCTGGATCAGAAGTGGAGTACCCAGAGCTCAAACAGGTACCCGCATGGGATGCCAGCACAACAGGAGAAGGCTCATTGTATTGCACCACAGCACCAGTCCCATTAGTTGGAGTTGTTAAGATTTTCATCAGGTCAAATAGGTTGAGTAGTAGATAGGTTGGCTCTGAGAGGTTTGAATGCTGCTTCTGAGACCCTGACCCATAATCTGGGTTTAGCTACATTCAGAAGGCAGACATAGGGCCAGCGCCGCGGCTCAATAGGCTAATCCTCCGCCTGGCAGCGCCGGCACACTGGGTTCTAGTCCCAGTCGGGGCGCCGGATTCTGTCCCGGTTGCCCCTCTTCCAGGCCAGCTCTCTGCTGTGGCCAGGGAGTGCAGTGGAGGATGGCCCAAGTACTTGGGCCCTGCACCCCATGGGAGACCAGGAGAAGTACCTGGCTCCTGCCTTCGGATCAGCGCGGTGCGCCGGCAGCAGTGCACCGGCCACAGCGGCCGGAGGGTGAACCAATGGCAAAAAGGAAGACCTTTCTCTCTGTCTCTCTCTCTCTCTCACTGTCCACTCTGCCTGTCAAAAAAAAAAAAAAAAAAAAAAAGGAAAGCAGCCACAACAGGTAAATATCCAATCCCAAGTTCTTTTAAAAACAATTATGGATTCTAATCCTGTTAGGAAAATGTCTTTTTCGTGTGTCAGATCCCTTTTATTCTAGTTATTAGGCTTTGGGCTAAAAGGAAGATATTTAGCATTTGTTGCATACTAGACAGTGCTGGGTCAATCCTTATATGTCATCTTATTTAATACTCATAATTTTCCTGTGAATTACTTTTTATTGTCACCATTTATTTATTTTAAGATTTATTTATTTGAAAGAGTTACACAGAGAGAGAAGGAGAGGCAGAGAGAGAAAAAAAGGGGGAGAGAGACATCTTCCCTCCACTGGTTCACTCCCTATTTGGCCACAATAGCTAGAGCTGCGCCGATCTGGAGCCAGGAGCCAGGAGCTTCTTCCGGGTATCCCATGTGGGTGCAGGGGCCCAAGGACATGGGCCATCTTCCACTGCTTTCTCCGGCCACAGCAGAGAGCTGGATTGGAAGTGGAGCAGCCGGGACTCAAATTGGCACCCATATGGGACACCGGCACTGCAGGCGGCAGCTACGTGCTACGCCGCAGTGCTGGCTCCTATTGTCACCATTTATAACCCCTCAAATGGCCAAGTTGTTTGCTATTGTTTTTTCCCACCTTCTGAGTCTTTGTACTATATGTGCTTTCTCCTCCTCCACTTGGAACATTCCTATTTCCTTCTTTGTGCCTAGTGAGTTCCTATTTATACTTCTAAGTTCATCTCAGATGTTTCTGCATTAAAGAAGCATCCCAGTCTCCGAGGTTTGCTTCCCTATCACACTCTCAGTGCAATGTATCATAATAGGGCAAGACATCATGTGATTTGTCATTTAACAGCTGTCATTTCTGCTGAAGTGTAAGCTCCCTAACACAAGAATTGTGCCTGTATCATTTTTCTGTGTTATTTGTAGTGCTAAATAGTTCTGTGCACATAAGTGTTTAATAATCATTGTGGCCGGCGCCGCGGCTCACTTGGCTAATCCTCCACCTAGCGGTGCCGGCACACTGGGTTCTAGTCCTGGTCGGGGTGCCGGATTCTGTCCCGGTTGCCCCTCTTCCAGGCCAGCTCTCTGCTGTGGCCAGGGAGTGCAGTGGAGGATGGCCCAAGTGCTTGGGCCCTGCACCCCATGGGAGACCAGGAGAAGCACCTGGCTCCTGCCTTTGGATCAGCGCAGTGCGCCGGCCGCAGCGGCCATTGGAGGGTGAACCAACGGCAAAAAGAAGACCTTTCTCTCTGTCTCTCTCTCTATGTCCACTCTGCCTGTAAAAAAAAATAAATCAATAAATAATCATTGTATGGTATGGCAAATAAATGCCATAATCAGAAGTTATAGCTTCAAAGCCTTCCTGTAAATTATACCATACATATAACCTAACAGGAAGTACTTTTAAATTTTTTTAATAAATCTTAAGATTTATTTATTTATTTGAAAGTCAGAGTTACACAGAGAGAAGGAGAGGCAGAGAGAGAGAGAGAGAGAGAGAGAGAGGTCTTCCATCCGCTGGTTCACTTCCCAAATGCCCACAGCATCCGGGACTATGCCAGGCTGAAGCAGGAGTCTGGACCTCCATCTTTGTCTACCATGTGGATGTCAGGGGCCCAAACACTTGGGAGCCATCTTCCACTGCTTTCTCTGGCACATTAACAGGCTGCAGGATCAGAAGTGGAGCAGCCAGGACTCAAATCAGTACTCTGATATGGGATGCCTGTGCCATAAGCAGTGGCTTAACCTGCTGTACCACAGTGCTGGCCCTAACAGGAAGTATTTCTTAATGATATTGTCAAAGAGGCTCTTTCTCAATTCTATTTCAGTTTTAGATTTAAGTATAACCCTGGAAGTTATTCATTAATCACTGGGTAGGGTGGGGTTCTGAAATAAGGAACTGAAAGTCTCGAAACAATCCCCAAGTGTGTGGAGAAGCTCTTCAGACACAGCTTTCTTAGCAATCAGCTATTTTTGAAGAAGACTAGTGGGAAGGTGTCCAGGGCTACATGTCCAGATAAGGAACCTAACAAGAGGTAGACGCGTCTGCTGGTCTTCCGGTGTTTCGAACTCCCTGCTGAACTGCGAACTGCTTATTGTATGTTAAAACAACTCAACAGCAAGCATCTAAAATGAAGACTTTTGAGGAGCAAACAGAATGCGTCATGAACGCTCTACTCGCAGACTTGCTGGGCCCAAAATTGCAGGTTACTAACCGGGACCTAGGCAGCGCAGAAGAACCTGTTGCAGGTAAGCCTCCTGACCTGAGGTAGAGATTAAAGGGTAATAAGAATTTTTTGCCAGTGCCATGGCTCAATAGGCTAATCTTCGGCCTGTGGTGCCGGTACTCCAGGGTCTAGTCCCGGTCGGGGCGCCGGATTCTGTACCGGTTGCCCCTCTTCCAGGCCAGCTCTCTGCTGTGGCCAGGGAGTGCAGTGGAGGATGGCCCAAGTGCTTGGGCCCTGCACCCATGGGAGACAAGGAGGAAGCACCTGGCTCCTGGCTTCAGATCAGCGCGGTGCGCCGGCCGCGGCGGCCATTGGAGGGTGAACCAACGGCAAAGGGAAGACCTTTCTCTCTGTCTCTCTCTCTCACTGTCCACTCTGCCTGTCAAAAAAAAAAAAAAAAAACTTTTTAAAAAAGATTTATTTATTTATTTGAAAGGCAGAGTTACAGAGAGAGAGAGAGAGAGAGAGAGAAAGAGAGCTCTTCCATTCTCTGGTTCACTCCCTCAAATTTCTGCAAGAAGCTGGGCTTGATGCAGGCCAAAGCCAAGAGCCTGAAATTCCATCTAAGTCTCCACGGGGATGCAGGCACATTAGGGAGCTGGATCAGAAGTGGAGCAGCCAAGACTTGAACCAGTGCCCACATGGGATGCTGGTGCTGCAGGCAGTAGCTTTACCCACTATGCCACAGCGCTGGCCCCTCCTCTTAAATTTCAAAAGGCAAAATTTAAGATTTTAGCATACCTGAAAAGAAAGAGATTCTTTTTGAAGGCAGACAGAGACAGAGATCTCCCATCCCCCAGTTCATTCCCCAAATACCTGCAAGAGCTGGGGCTGGAGCAGGTAGAGGAAGAACCAGGAAATCAATCTAGTCTCTCACTGGATGGCAGGGACTCAGCCACTTGGCCTGCCACCTGCTGCCTCTCGGGGTGTGCGTTAGTAGGCAGCTGGAGCAGAGAGGAGCCAGGAGTGGAACTGGCACTCCGTTGGGACACAGGTATCCTAAGCCATGTTTTAACTCTTAACTGCTGCACCAGCCCCTGCCCCTGAAGGGAGATTTTTCTAGTGCTGTTGACAGAACATCGAAGTTCTTGGGAAAGAGCAATGCCGAACTGTTGAGAAGACGGGAGAACTTTTCTCCATTGCCGGTTCCTGGGTCTTGCCATCCTTTCAAGCATGGTGACAAATGTGTTTTCTCCGTCTTAGGAGAGGCTGACTCTTTTGACGTGGCTATCATTGTTGGGCGCCTTCGGATGCTCGGTGACCAGTTCAATGGAGAGGTAGAAGCTGCTGCCAGAAACGTCATTAAAGAAACTGCTCGGGAGCAGGTCAGGTCTTTACCTCTTGCTATGGTTTGCTGCTTTTTTCTATTTCAAGCTTCCTTTTCTTACTACTCCTTTACACTAGGACTAAGAATGTTCTGTGAAAGATTTGGGGGCTTATATTCATTACAGGAGATACAGCAGGAATTGTCCATTTGCCATTTCTTAGTAGGAGTTCATCAAAGCCCAAGTGGTACAGAGATGGACAGCTCTTGGCACAGGCTGATCAACCTTTTAGCTTGTCTTCGCTTGATTTTCATCAGAGCTGTGCTCAGTGTGCACAGAGCGTTTGTATAGCAGGTTACTCTTTTTTTTGTTTTGTTTTGTTTTTTTCTTAAGATTTATTTATTTACTGGAAATTCAGAGTTACACAGAGAGAGGAGAGGCAGAGAGAGAGAGAGAGAGAGAGAGAGAGAGAGAGGTGTTCCATCCGATGGTTCACTCCAGATGGCCGCAAAAGCTGGAGCTGTGCTGATCCGAAGCCAGGAGCTTCCTCTGGGTCTCCCACGTAGGTGCAGGGGCCCAAGGACTTAGGCCATATACTCCACTGCTTTCTGAGGCCGCAGCAGAGAGCTGGATCAGAAGAGGAGCAGCTGGGACCAGAACCGGCTCCCGTATGGGATGCTGGTGCTTCAGGCCAGGGCGTTAACCCACTGAGCCACAGTGCCAGCCCCACAGGTTATTCTTGGCAAGGTGTCCTCTCTGCATGTTTTAATACTTTGTTGGGCATTGACGTCACCCCCAACCTTGCTCCAAGGTCCCTAGTGAAGTCCACACAGGAAGTATAGGCAGTTTACAAGTCTGATGTAGTGAGAGATGAACCCTTACAGCAGCCCTGTGGCTTTTTATCAGCACATAGATTACTGGCAGTAGAACTTGGACTCTGTATTAGATACAAAAATCTTAAGATGGCATTCTAGGAGATATTGCTGATTAATATCAGCAATGACAGCTAATATGAACTCATCACTGACCACATGCCATTACAGTCTCATAACCATTATATCCCCCTGTGAACTATCATAGAAACTATTACCCCTAGAGCAACCTGTCCCCATCTGCATATAACACCGGGGTAGCAGGTATCTAATGTGTTCACTGCTAGGCTCACAATAACTTGAACAGTGGAATAGCCAGGATTCAAACTGGCATGCATACGGGGTGCTGGCACTGCAGGCAGCAGCTTTACCCACTACACCATAGCAACGGCCCCAGTTGTTAGTTTTAATCACTTAAGATGGTATTTGTAAATCTTCTCCACTGTAAAGTTACTCTTTTTCTTTTTTAAGATTTATTTTATTCATTTGAAAGGCAGAGTTACAGAGAGGGAAGACAGAAAGAAAGGAGAGAGATCTTTCATCTGTTGGAACCATCCATTGGTTCACTCCCCAGAGGGCTGCAATGGCTGGGATTGGGCCAGACACATCCAGGTCTCCCATGTGGGTGTCAGGGAACCAAACATTTTGACCATTTTCCACTGCTTTCCTAGGCACATCAGCAGGGAGCTGGATCAGAAGTGAAGCAGCCAGGACTTGAACCAGTGCTCACATGGGATGCTGGTGTCACAACAGTGGCTTAACCCATTGTGTCACAACACTGGCCCCAAGTTGCTCTTTTCCTTTTTGTAATTAATAAGTATTGTCATAGAGTGGTACTTTTATCTTATGTAAATATCCCCTTTTTTATCAAAATTTCAATCCATTTATTTCCATATCAGTGTGGAGCTATGAAGTCCTACTTTATTCTTAGAGGTAAAATCTGTTACTGTCATATAGAGGCTCGGATTGTCTCAGATTTAGGTAACGGCAGCCCTTTTAATCTGGACTTTGTCTTTTTGATATGTCTGCATCATTTCTAACAGATATTCTATTTCCCATATCCCAGCCTAGAACCAGCATTCTCCAGAGAGCTCTGTGGCTTTTTTTTTTTTTAAATGGAGAATGATATTTAGAAACTAAATTCTAGGGGCTGACGCCTGTGACATAGTAGGCCAAGCCTCCACCTGCAGCACCGGCATGCCAGATGAGCTCTGGTTCAAGTCCTGGCTGCTCCTCTTCTGATCTAGCTCCCTACTAATGGCCTGGGAAGGCAGGGGAAGATGGCCCAAGTGCTTGGGCCCCTGCACGCACGTGGGAGAGCTGGAAGAGGCTCCTGGCTCCTGGCTTCGGATCAGCTCAGGTCCGGTCATTGCAGCCATTTGGGGAGTGATCCAGCAGATGGAACACTTTTCTCTCTGTCGCTCCCTCTCTCTCTGTAACTCTGCCTCTCAAATAAATAAGATATTAAAAAAAAAAAAAAAGAAAAGAGAGAAAAAGAAACTAAAATCTAGGCACCCTCTCCCATGGGTGCCCTTCTCAGTTTATTTGGGCTTAGATACACTGCTCTGACCACTGTCATCTCCCCTCCCCTCCGCCTCCTCTCCCCAGAAGATCTGGCTTAGCTCCACCTAATGGCTTTTGAGCCAAATGGTTTGAGAAAGAAAGAGGAAGAGGACAAACTAATCTTTTCTCCCCCCACTGTAGCATGTCCTAGTCATTCAAATAATACCTTTTCAATGTGACCAGCTGTGCTGTCATGTTCTCAGTAGTTTTCTTTCAAATCATTTTATTGCTATTGTTTTATCCTAAGCAATACTATCTGAAATCACGGATTTGAAGAGCTATTTATATATTTTTCTAAAGCCCCTTGAAGTAACAGAATATTAAAATAAGAGAAGTTTGCCCACCCTCCCCTTAAGATTACCTCTGATACGTTTGCTTTACTGGATTCCACCTGCAGCCTCTTGTACTCTCTGAGCACTCTTCACTGATACAGCCTGTCTCTCTCCTCAGGCAGGCGCAGTTCTCCAGAACACAGTGACATCTCTCAGCAAGGCGTGGTGCGCTCAGGATTCCACCTTAGCGTATGAGAGAGCCTTTCTGGCTGTGTCAGTGAAACTTCTTGAGTGTGTGGTCCGCAATGCTCCTGAAATGGCTAGGCAGATGCTTCGCCCCATGACAAGTATGATCAATGGGGACAGAGCCATCCGGGAGTTTGTCGAGGGTCAGGGAGGTTGGGTGAGTATGTCGGGGCCCCTGTTTTTGCCGTCATTTACACTCTTTTGGTACTAGTACCTGGGACTCCAGTTATGACCCTTTTTATAAGGTGAAAATCAAGAAGGAAAACAGGCCTCCCTACTTTGCTAACAATGCCAGGATTTTCTTGCGATGGAAAAGAGGAGCAGACAACAGCCTAGCCTGTGGGATTGGATCCCAGAGTCATACTGTCTAAAATGTTGATGTCAAGCTAGTCTCCGCTTCCTACACATAATCATCTACAAAAGTTTATTGCTGGTGGAGTTAGCCTGGCTTCACTGTGCTCCCTGGAAAATTTCTGGGTCTTTAGACATGTGTTGCTGAAGTTCAGAATCATTTTTTAAATGTTTATTTATTTGAAAGGCAGAGCTGGGGGGTGAGGGAGAAGGGAGAGAGGTCTTCCATCCATTGGTTCTCTCCCAAAAGCCTCTAACAGCCAGGGCCAGGCAAGGCCAAAGCCAGGAGGAGCCAGGAATTCCATTTGGGTCTCCCACATGGGTGGCAAGAAATCAGGTACTCGAGCCATTATCTATTGCCTCACAGGCTCCTTAGAAGGAATCTGTATCAGAAGTGGAGGTAGCACTTGATCTCAGGCACTCTGATACAAAATGCCTGCGTCCCAGGCAGTGGCTTAACCCCCTGGGGCACAATGCCTGCTCCAGAATCATCTTAATATTATCTAACAAAAAACAGTCTCATCCTCTGTAGTGGTAACTGCTGTACTTTTTTTTTTTTTTTTTTTTTTTTTTTTTGGACAGGCAGAGTGGACAGTGAGAGAGAAAGACAGAGAGAAAGGTCTTCCTTTACCGTTGGTTCACCTTCCAATGGCCGCCGTGGCCGTTGCATCGCGCTGATCCAAAGCCAGGAGCCAGGTGCCTCTTCTGGTCTCCCATGGGTGCAGGGCCCAAGGACTTGGGCCATCCTCCACTGCACTTCCCGGGCCACAACTGCTGTACTTATTAGAACTTTGGGGTTAGAGAGCTCTTGCCTCCCTTTCCAGGATCAGAAGAAGCCTTAGTAAGAGCTGCTGTCCCTGGCTGCTTAGAGGAAGTTCCTCAAGACTATCCTTTCTTGGGGCCGGCGCTGTGGCTCACTTGGTTAATCCTTCGCCTGCGGCGCCGGCATCCCATATGGGCGCCGGGTTCTAGTCCCAGCTGCTCCTCTTCCAGTCCAGCTCTCTGCTGTGGCCCTGGAGGGCAGTGGAGGATGGCCCAGGTGCTTGGGCCCCTACACCCGCAAGGGAGACCAGGAAGAAGCACCTGGCTTCTGGCTTCGGATCAGCGTAGCTCTGGCCGTAGCGGCCATTTGGGGAGTGAACCAACAGAAGGAAGATCTGTCTCTCTCTCTCTCACTGTCTATAACTCTACCTGTCAAATTAAAAAACAACAACAAAAGACTATCCTTTCTGACTATAGGATTTTCACTGTTCTTCCTAGGAAAATCTGGAGAGCTGAAGAAGAGGTGGAGTCCTTCCCCACACTGAATAGCGCTTCCTTTTTGATCAGCTGTTTGATTTCTGGCAATAAAAACAGACAAACAAAACCAATCGAATACTACTTTCTTTTTCTGGTCAGAACAGAACCTAGCTAAATAAGTTTATTTTCTATTGGTTGTTAAAGTCAGAAGCAACTCCTAGAAACCTATAGAGATTTGGCATTTTCTGTTTTCCCCTGAGCTGTAACGGGGTCCTACTGAAGCCAAGACTTCCAGACACAAAGTAATGACTTTTAGTAGTGGAACTTCAGGCAGGAGGGCAGGCTTTTGCTGGAGCCATTTTGGAGGAAAGGGAGAACACTGGAAAAGATTTCTTTAGATTTAGCCCCGTCCATGGGTGAGAATCTTATCTATAAATTTTGCAATCTAAAAGATTTCTCTGAAGTTTTTTGGTTGAAAATCAAGGATTTTTTTGTTTTCAGATTCTTACCAAATTGTATGTTAATTTCATCGGAGCAGAATTATTTTATGCATTTTAGATGTAGGAAGCCAAAAGTGACAGTTTGTTCATAGATCTTTCACCTAGAAAAGTCAAGGAGAGATGCAATAGGTACTGCATTTTTATTGCACAGGGTACTGGAAGTGCTGGCCCACAGTGCCACCCAGCTTAGGTGAAGGCTGCCTACCACAGGAGTTTTGAAAGTGTGGTTCACATATCACCAGTGGATCTCATTAAATTACAGAGTCCCAGGCCCCACCCCTAGAGATTCTGATGCTGGGTGTGGATCTAGGGGCCTACTTTTTTTAACCAGCTCCGTGGGTGATTCTGATGCACATAGGGTTTGCTAACCAATCTTTATAGGAGTTGACAAAACAACAGCCCATAGGCCAAATCTGACCTGCTGTCTTTTTTGGAATGTAAGTATTTATTAGAACGTGGCTACACTCGCTTGTTTACGTATTGTCTGTGGTTGCTTTTGCACTATGGTGGCAAAGTTGAATAGTTATGGCAGATACCACAGGGTCCATCAAGTCTGAGGTGTTGACCAGCTGGCCTCTTATGGAACAAACTTTCTGAACCCCTCCTCTGGAGTTAAATGAACATGTCTCCTTGAATAATTGAAACTCTGTGGTGGCCCCAACAATTCCTGTCAATATAGTTATAGATAGAGTTTAAACTCAAAGATATTTAGCTCTTGCTTTAGGACTTTGCCTGAGAATATTAGCCAAAGAGCCGGGTGGCTCCTGAGACGTTGAGGGAGGGTGTACATTTCCTTGGCCCCACAAGTGAGAGTGGTTGGAAGTAAATCTGATGCCTTCTATGATCTGTGTATCTCAAAATATCTCTCACAATGTAATAGATCAGCAGGTAATCATCAGGTACAGATTCCAGAAACCAGACTGCTTACATGAATCTCCAGAAGAAGTGTGCTGCTACATCCATTTATGAAAAGAGGCGTTTATGACTGGGGCCTGCGCTGTGGTGCGCTAGGTTAATCCTCCGCCTGCGGCGCCAGCACCATGGATGCCAGTTCTAGTCCTGGCTGCTCCTTTTCCAGTCCAGCTCTCTGCTGTGGCCTGGGAGGGCAGTGGAGGATGGCCCAGGTACTTGGGCCCCTGCACCCACATGGGAAAACCCGGAGGAGGCATCTGGCTCCTGGCTTCGGATCGGCGCAGCTCTGGCCGTTGCAGCTATTTGGGGAGTGAACCAGCGGAAGGAAGACCCTTCTCTCTATCTCTTCCTCTCACTGTCTGTAACTCCGCCTGTCAAATAAATAAATAAAATCTTAAAAAAAAAAAAAAAAGAGGCATTCATGACTGGGCAAAGTTTATCGAGGTTAATCACTTCCCTTCCCACAGCCGACCATCTGGCAAAGAACTAAATATGTGATGCTATTAATACTTTTATTTTTCAACTTATGTTTATCTCCCCTCTCCCTCAATAAATCACAACTGCTCAGTAATCCAGAAATGAGGTTTCTTGCTTCCCTTTAGTAGAAATTAGCTTTTTTTTTTTTTTTTTGCTGCCAACTAAGACACTTGACATACTCCTTTTGTCCCATATGCTACTATAACTCAGGATGGTGAGTTTTGTGGTATTTGACCTCTTAGGCAAAAATCACTACTTTCACTTTGACTAATGCTGTTCTGTTTATGAAAGAAAATATTTCTGTCTAGCATTTGAAGTAAGTTTCAGCAAGTGCAATCTCAATCAACTATTAAAGGTCAAAGACCAGCAGCAGCCTCCTCCTTTCGTTTTCTTTCCCCTTATTGCAGCTCTCTGTTTTACTCCATGCTGCCCATAAAATGTTAGACTGTGAGTTTAGTTGCAGCCACTCTGCGGTATCTTGAGATTTGAAGATAGGGTGCCCCTTGGGTGACAGCAGGCAAATGGGCAAGGCAGCAGCTGTGGCCTGAGTGTTGTATTTGCAGCGAGGCCACCCTTTTAGGAGAGCTAAAGCAACTGGGCTACGAGAAGAAGACATCGTAGCCCAGCGATTAAGAATGCGTTCAGATTGCCTGATTCCAACAGTTTAGTTTCATCACAGGCTAATTATGTGACCTTGGCCAGTAACCTAATTCCTGTGTACCTCAGTTTCCACATCTGTAAAGTAGAGATGATTTAGTAGGTATTTCATGGGATTGTTGTGAGGGATAAATGAAACAATACACGCGGGAAGGGACTTAGCCCAATGCCTGGCATAATTTAAGCTCTGTGCCATCAGCAGTTTGGAATCCCATGAATTGCAGTGCACGAGGCTCTGGCTGGACTGTTTCCCTCCCCATGAACTCTTGTCTTCCCAATGCCTGCTGCTCTTGGGACTTCTCCTCCTGCCTTGATGTGGGTGGTTTCTAAGTATGGCTTCTTTCCCTTCTTCTCAAATCCATATCTACAAACTCCAGTTCCCTGGTTCTGTAGGACCCTCTTGTCTCCCACGCTCTCCCAAACCGCCATGCAGCTGTCTCAAAACCTCAGTCATTTTTGTCTTCCTCTCTCCAGTCCAACTCACCCAGTCAGTCCCCTGCCTTCCTGTTTGCCCTGCCTCTTCCTCCCAGGTTTTCTTACCACTTGCCTGAACCAGCTTCCTGCCTGGACTTTGGATTCATTGTCCTGTCTCAGTCCCATCCCTGCCCTATTCCTGTCTGTCCTGCAGCCTGCCACCAAACTAGCCAAAGCTGTGGCTTCTTTGTCCATTGTTTTGATTCCTTTTTAGAGATGGAGTAATTCATTTTAAAATTTAATATGCTATGTAGGGAGATGATGAGACATTTAAAAAGTTTATCACAAGGGAGTGTTTGTTAATTTAAATAATCAAGAAACAATCCCCATTGTGTTTGGGGATTTGCTTTGATTTCCATTGTCTTAAAATCCTTCAGGGGAACATTTGAAGGTGATTGGTTATGTTTATAACCTTGATGGTCATAGATGTGTTATATACATACCAAAACAAACTATACACTTTGAAATGTATAGTTTATTAGATGTCAATACTATGCCAGTAAAATTGTTTTTTAAAATAAATAAAAATAAAATTGATTTTTAAAAACCATTAATGGCTGCCCACTGTCCATGAAATAAATCCTACTCTTCAGCCTGGTGTCCAAACTTCCCCAAGGTCTGGCCCAAACTTTCCTTTCTCCTCTACAAACCCACTGTTCTAATAAAATTGAAGCACTCACTAAAAAATTCCTCCCACTGTTCTCTATGAGAGTACTTCAAAAACATCATGGCAAATGGAATTAAAGGATAAATGTATTTGGCTGCAAAAATTTGGAAATTGTTATGTACAAAGGATCTTCAAAAAATTCATTGGAAGTACATATTATGAAAATATTGTGCCTGGGTTTCAAAAATTCCTTAACATCAAAGTAAACTTATGTTTTAATTCCACTTTTCTATGAACTTTTGAAGTCCCGCGTGTGTGTCACATTGCCTTTTCTTGGGCTCTTCCTATAGGAGATCATCACTTCCTCCATGAAAAATATCTTCACCTCCTTAAACTTTTGCTTGAACTGTTTTTGTGGTTCTTGCCACAAGTGGCCTTAAACTAGTTACTTGTTTTCTTAGCTTTCCTACTAGAAGAGAGAATCTTTGAATGATAGAATTGGTTCTACACTTGTACAGTACCCATATATCCCATTTCTCTTGCATGTGCGTAGATATTATAACTATTCATTAAATGAGTGAATAAATGATTGACTCAGGAAAGATTTCAAGTTTGACTCTACTTTAAACAGGATGCCAAGCCTCAGCAACAGTCCTGTCTCTCAGTTTACTAGGGGAAAAAAGGTCAATTGCAAGTTATCAGTTGATCTTTGCCTCTTGAGGATTCTGAAACCAAAAGCAGAGCTACGATGCCATGTGCGGCGTGTGGGAAGCTGACTGCGACGTCTGCAGCAGGTGGCCTGCAGAGCCTGATGCACTCCCAGAGTGCTGTGGTGACAAGCAGCAGATTGGAAGAGGGTAGGGGACTCTCCCGCTGCGGATGATGTAAAAACAAGCAAATCAAACCAGCCTCCTAAGATAGATGCCTTATAGTAAGCCTCTTCAGTGTCCACTTATAAAAGGAGAACCAAGTCTAGCGTGGAGATACGGGGAGTCAATTCTTTCTGGCCATTGCAGTGCTTTTTGAGCTGGCCTCTGGACCGCAGCGTGGACACTGCTGCTTTCATAGCAAGAGCCCTGCTGCTTGGGCAGCAGCCCTCTGGGAAGCACTCTTGCCAGGTTCCTGGGGAAGGCCCATCTGTGCCTGGCATGGCAGAAGTGCCTAGCCAGAGACATGAAGCACGGGCGGTGTCAGGCAAGAGGCTGGAGTAGTGGCATAATGAGCAGCAAGTCAGAGAGTGAGAGTGGATCTCGCAGCGAAACCTCGCCCCATGACCATGACATAGCACACCTTACCACCACAGACTTGTGTAGGGATGCATGAACTCACGTTACGCACTATGGTTGTACAAATGCATAGAAGACACTGTCACTGCCTTTGATACATCTGAAACTACAGGGGAAATTTCATTTGTCCTCTTTTGAATGAGCTATTTGAAAAGATTGGTTTATTTGAAAGGAAGAGTGGCAGAGAAAGAGAGAGAGAGAAAGAGAGATCTTCCATCCACTGATTCACTCACCAAATGACTGCAATGGCCAGGCCAAAGTCAG